CAAAATTATTAGAATTTATAAGACTAGAAGTCGAATCTGAGGAAAGAATACAATTAGCTCATATAGATGTTAAAGAAGGGCATTGTTCTACGGCAGCTTGTTTAATATCATCTTCTAAAAAAATTGAACAGAGAAAAGACACCGACAGATCTACCAAAATAGAAAATAATTGCGTTTGGTGTGACAAAGGCTACCATACAAGTTCAGAGTGCAAGATTGCTATGAAATTAAATTTAGAAGAAAGAAAGGAGTTTTTGAAAAAGAATAAGATTTGTTTTATTTGTTTGAAAAAAGGGCATATGTTAAAGCAATGTAGAAAAAGTCCAAAATGCGTAATTTGTGGCAAAAGACATCACGCACTGATGTGCAATGATTTACCGTCGTCTTCGAGTGCTCCAGCAGTGTTAAGCCAAGTAGAGGCGAACAAAACTGTATTGCTGCAAACGATAAAAGTTAAAATTTTTAATGGTAACAAGAATATGCAAATAAGAGCAATTTTAGATTCCGGAGCACAACGAAGTTTCATTAAAAAAGATATTGCAGAGAAAATGTCTTTATTACCTGTTGGAGAGTTATCATTGACACATAACGTATTTGGCGGTATAACAAAGAAACGTCTAAGTAAATTATATGATGTAAATATTAGTAATTTAGATGGATCTTACGTATGTGTTTTGAAGACCATAGAGCAACCAGAAATATGTGGTTACATACCGACTTTGAGAGACAATAAAATAATAAATGACTTAAAAAATAAAGGTATAGTACTTACGGACTGTATAGATGAACAATCTAATATTAGTTTATTAATCGGCAATGATTTTTTAGGTTCTTTATTGACGGGGCGGTCAGAACGCGTGGATGATAATCTTATTGCGATGGAAACCAAACTTGGTTGGACCCTTCAAGGACCGGCGGTCAGTGTTTATTGCTCCTTAGATAATATAACCACTTTACATGCTTCGTTGTCCTATAATATCGAAAATTTTTGGGATTTAGAAACATTGGGAATCAAAGATGAGGCAGAGGTAAAGAGGTTGAAGGTTTTAGAATCAGAAGCCGAAACATTTTTTAGAAACACTATACAGACTGATAGTGAAGGTAGGTATGAAGTGAGATTACCTTGGAAAGAGTTGTACACAGATTTAGATACGAACTATTATTCATCTTTAAAACGGCTTCAATCTACCACCAATAGATTAGTTAAATTAGGTATATTGGATGAGTACAATAAAGTCTTTGAAGAGTGGTTAGAGTCTGGTATAATTGAAGAAGTGGAAGATGACAATTGTAGTATAGGGCATTATATGCCACATCATGCTGTTATAAAAGAGGAAAGCTTAACTACCAAAATCAGACCCGTGTTTGATGCTTCAGCTTTAGATAGCAATGGGTTTTCATTAAATTCATGTCTAAGTAAAGGTGTTAACTTAATTGAATTAATTCCAAAGCTTTTAATTCAATTTCGGAAGCATAAAATAGGTATTACCGCGGATATTAAAAAGGCATTCCTACAGATTTCATTACATCCTAAAGATCGCGAATATCTTAAATTTTTGTGGTGGCGAGATGTTACAGCGACAACAAAGATATTAAAAACATTCAGACATAAAAGAGTTGTTTTTGGGGTCACATGTAGTCCTTATCTTCTTTCTGCTACCATTTTATATCATCTTAATAAATATAATGATAATGATGTTGCAACTATTTTAAAGAAATCGTTCTACGTTGACAATTGTGTAGTCAGTGTACAGACTTTGCAAGAGATGCACAATTTTATAGATGAGGCGAAGAGAATTATGCTTGAAGGATTATTTGAGCTTAGGTGTTGGGTTACAGGGCCGGAGTTAGTTGACAAAGATATACTGAATGTATCTGTTTTAGGTTTAAATTGGAATCCAACTCAGGATCTGTTGACTTGCAAATTTTCTACTAACAAGAAGTCTAATAATATTACTAAAAGAGTTCTACTATCCCTAGCGCAAAGTGTTTTTGATCCGTTAGGATTTCTTAGCCCAGCAACTATAGTACCTAAATTAATCATTCAAAAATGCTGGATCATGAATATTGATTGGGATCAGAGTTTACCAAATGAATTGACCAAACTAACGCAAGAGTGGATACGTCAAATGAACGTATTTCATAGTTGTTGTATTCCACGAAGGTTAAGTACACACGATATAAATTTAACTGATAATAGCCTTCATATATTTTGTGACGGTAGCAAATCAGCCTATGCTTGTTGTATATTCTTACGCTCGGGGTTTAAGAGTGAAGTATCTGTTCAGTTAATAATGGCTAAAGCAAGGGTAGCCCCGACAAAGGCAGTAACTATACCTAGGATCGAATTACTTGCGGCATTGATGGCTTCGAGATTGGCGAGTGAGGTTAGAGATAGCTTAGAGTTACCTTGTAAGGAATATTACTGGACCGATTCGAGCATAGTATTAGCATGGTTAAGGAAAAAAGTAGGTTTTAATGTGTTCGTACACAACAGAGTAAAAGAGATTCTTGATAGAACAAATATCGCTAATTGGCATCATATATCGGGGGATTTAAACCCTGCTGATCTCCCTTCAAGAGGATGTAACCCACAAGTTTTACTAGAAAGTAAATGGTGGTTAGGTCCTACTTGGTTAAAAGAAAACAGTTTAAATTGGCCTCATTCTGTAGAAACAACAGATGTTACAGAGATAGAAAAAGAGTTTAGTTCAGTTTTAATAAATGTAGAGGAAAAAGATAGATTCTCTAATAAGTTTTTATATTTTAGCGATTATTTAAAAATAGTTAGGATGATAGGTTGGTGTCTTAGGTTTATATTTAATTCGAAAAAGCTAAATAAACGTTTAGGGAATTTACGTAATGATGAGATTTTGGAAGCTGAAAAAAGGTTATTTATAATGTTACAAATAGATTATTTAATGAACACAAATAAGTTACCGAATCTGGAATTAGTAAAGGACAATTATGGAGTTGTTCGTGTCAAAACGCGACTAATGTTGAGTAATGATACTGAAAATTTTATTATGCCTATTTTACTTCCTAAGTGTCAAATAGTAGAACGTTTAACAGTGCACTTTCACAGAAAGTTCTCACATGCAGGTTCCCAAACTTTAATATCTAAATTACGCGAACTTTATTGGATATTAGGTATCAGGAAAATGGCTAATCGCGTTGTTAATAGTTGTATGATTTGCAAACGGTTCAGTGCCAAAGCTTGTGTTGCTCCTATACCACCATTACCTGCAGATCGCGTTGAATGTAGCGGTCCGTTTGAAGTTACGGGGATAGATTTTGCAGGGCCATTATATCTGAGATCTGGGGAGAAGTGCTGGCTGTCCTTATTCACTTGTGCTGTGTATCGCGCGGTTCATTTAGAGCTCTGTGTTTCGTTATCTACCGAAGAATTTATGATGTCTCTTCGTAGATTTTTAGCTAGACGAGGGAATGTTAAGGTTATATACAGCGATAATGGAACAAACTTTAGAGGTGCAAGTAATGTTTTTGATAACATAAATTGGGAAACAGTAGAATCTAAAACTGATAGGATTTTATGGCGCTTTAGTCCACCCGCAGCGCCATGGTGGGGAGGATTTTGGGAGCGAATGGTAAGAACTGTCAAAGAACTTTTAAGGCGTGTTTTAGGTAGAGCAGCATTATCTTTTAATGAGTTATCAACCGTCATTTGTGAGGTAGAGGCGATTGTAAATTCGCGTCCGCTCACGTATATTGCGGATAATTCAGAAAATGTTCAACCTCTTACACCCGCTTCATTTTTACTATTTTATAAGACAAATAGTAGCAATACTTTTGATATCGATTTGATAGATGGTCATATTTTGACATCACGGTGGCGCTACATTAAGAAACTATGTTCTGATTTGAAACATCGTTTTCGCAGTGAATATTTAGGCTTACTAGTCACTAAATGTAATAAAAATAAAAATAATTCTTTAAAACCCGGGGATATTGTACTACTTGAGGTTAGTGACAAGAAGCGTATACAGTGGCCACTGGGTTTAGTATTAGAATGTATGGGAGGTTCTGACGGTGTCAATAGAGTTGCTCGTCTTAGGACATCGTCGGGAGAACGTTTAAGAGCTGTACAGTCTCTGTACCCACTAGAGTTATCTAGTGTGGAATCTGCTTATTTGAATAATCGCAGTGAGAGCAACAAACACAATACTGCAATAGGTATTCAACGAGAAGTACAAGGTGAACTTAGAACGCGTTCTGGCCGACTCGTCAGAATACCAGATAAGTTAAAATTTTAGTTTTGAACATAGTATTAATAAATTTTATAAGGTATGTATTGTGTTTAGGATATTGTTAGTATGTATAGTTTTTAATTTTATTTTGTACTTTGTATTATGAGTGTGCTATGTGTGTATGGCGTAAGAAGGCACATGTTGTTGTCAACCAGTGCCATGGTGGGGAGGATGTTATAAATCAAACCTCATTTCAGTTAAGAATAAATAAATAATAATATTTAAATTTTATTGACAATGTCACATGTTATTGTTTTTCAATTCAATAAAATGTCTTCGTAGATGAACATCTAAAGTGTTATTTTTTTGGTTAAAACGAGGCATAGTTCCTACAAGTAATAAATCCGAAGACCTGCAGGAACGTGAATTCATCACAGACCGTGTCGACGACTCCAATCGCAAATCTGCTCGAGATCAATGTTGGTGATAGCAATTGCAAGATGATCTTTGTACAAAGATCATCTATTGATGTTTGAGTATAAAGTTGCAAATCATCAGCATACATGTGATAGGAAGAAATAAGAGGAAGGAACGAATATCGATCATCCTCCCTACTCTTTGGTCTGTGCTTTGACTGTTGAGTTGTTGACAAAGTCTGTGGTTGTTGACGTGAATTTCATTTGCATTTTACATGTAAAAATTAATTTATTTACTTGACATTAGCAGAATTGTGTGAGAGCGCAGATATTAATTATTTAAATTAATTAAAAAAGAAGAAGACTGTTGACGTCTTTGATTTCTTCGTCTTTTAAATATTGCTTTAAGAAGCTTCATTAAAACGTTAATTATATTTTGAATTCTGAATAGATATCACTCACAAATAGTACCTATAATCAATTCGAATTACCTCTAAGTGCATTTACCATAAATAGAAAATGTCTGAAAAACATGCAAAGAAACATAAAGGTTCAGGACCTTCGGCAATTGGAAAGTTATATCTTTTATCATACAATGGAATACAGACTCTGGGGTAAGTGTTACATAGATTTATCAACACCAATAAATCTATGCGAAAGTTAACTATTATTATTACGGACTTTGGCATTTCAGCAACCAGATTTCTCAGATGTTCTATTGGAATTCTATGATTCCAATTATACATTTCCTTTGGTAAACACTCATAAATAACAAAGATTCGAAGAAGTCTGCAAACTTAGTTTCATTTTAACATATTAAAAAATTGATCTATAAACTTTTTTATTTTGACATTGGTTTTTGTTGCATTTATAATATCTTTACTACATCTAGCAGTGCAAAATATTTAAAAAAAACTGTATTATAGTTCTTCATTTACAGAAATTATTCTAGGCCCCATACTCCATAAAAAATGTCAATAAAGGTTCATTGCATATTTATAAGTAAAATCAATGATGAAGATCATCAGATGAAAAGGGTTATTAACTTTGACATTTTATTTTATATCACTGTCAAAAAATTTCTTGTTAGATTATAAACTATTTTAGGTGAAAGTAACTTCAAATTATTATAATCTTACAGTTTTTCAGAGACTTATACATACTGAATAAAATAAACATAAGTTAGTAAAAAAATATTAGACATTTCTGTGCAATGATTTTCTCTGAGAAGTAATAAAAGTTTTAAAAGAAAGTATACAATTAGTTGTATATATGATAATTAATGGTTAAACAAACTTACCTCTGATGTTTGACCATAATTCTATGAGCTGTGAGATTCAGTATTCACTGTGTAGTTCACTTCTCTATGTATCAGGCAGCGCATAGAATTTAAGAGCTAGTAATTAAAAAAGTAATACTATTAACCCCTTCCCTGTGCCATTGCATCCCTGCACTTGACCTGTAATTATGTCATTATTTTTAGAGATGATGTATCTATTTTGCGTTACCTGTCTATGGGTATGGTTAGTAATTTTCAGTCCCCAAAAAAAAAAATATATAAAATCTTGTTTAGTCAGATTATTTAATTTATGCTTATATATATAGATATTGACTTGAATTATTTATTTATGTCAGTGTTAGATTTGATATGTCAATATTTAATAATTTGTTTCGTTGGTTAACTCTGTTTGCCTTTTGGCATAGGCCTCCCCCAATCTTTCCCCATTTATTTTATTTGATGTCAATACGTCTTCCCATCGTCTCCACTGCCTCCCTCTCCTCCTTTTCCTATCTCTGGGTATCCAATTTAGTATCATTTTACTCCACTTTTCTGTGCCTCTTATAACATTACCTGCCCATCTCCACTTTCCTTTTATTACCTTTTCAGTGACATCTATCATTTTGGTCTTTGCTCTAATTGTGGAATGCCTTAATTTTTGCATTTTCGAAATAATTAACACGCTTCTTTCCATCGTTCTTTGACAAGTCCTTATTTTTCGCAGATGGGATCTATCAAGTGACCATGTTTCGTATCCATAAGTAAGAATAGGAAGTATGCAAGTGTTGAAGAGTTGTCCCTTTAAGCTAGCAGGGAATGTTTTATTTTTCATGATTTCCTGTAGTGACCAATATCTCTTCCAAGCTCCACTTATTCTTATTTCGATTTCTTTATTTGTCATGTCTAGTGGTGAGATAATTTGTCCCAAGTACTTGTATTCGTGTACATATTCTATTTTGTCTTTACTCACCAAAATTGGAAGTTTGATTCTATTCGTCATGACCTTGGTTTTGGACATATTCATGGCTAACCCCACTTTTCTGCTTTGCTCATCAAGCTCTTCTACAATTTTTTGTAGGTTGTTAGCACAGTCTGAAAATATAACGAGGTCATCAGTAAATCTTTAGTGTGAGCTTCTGATCATTTATTTTAATGCCTATATGCAAGTGCTATATATCAAAAAACGCGCAATTAACTGACCCACACACAAGTGAAAACATCACCAAAATCGGTTCTAAGTGCTAAAAAACCACTTAATAGCTAATAATTTTGTGAACAACGATTCGCTCGCGAGGCGTCATACCAGTAACACCAGACACTGTGAGTTTTAAAAATCTGAAAACTAAAAACATCTAGTGTCCCTAGTTATTAGTGCACAGCTCAGTTTTCTTAACTGCCCTGGAAGAGGTGCCAAGGGGCTATAGATAGCAAAAAACAGCACAATACTAACTGTCGAGAACCCGGAGGAATCAACCAGGGAAATTTGGGTCCAAATTTCCCCCATCCCTAGAAGTCAGCGTTTCCAACTGCCGGAGCTGTGATTTTTATATTTTGTAAATATAGTAAAGTATGGGTTAAGATATATGTGTGAAAGTTTTTTGGTCTTTAGGACAAATAGTTTTTTAGTAACAAATTGTAAAATGTACTTTTGCCCCCTCTAAGGGAATCCCTTAGAGTTATAAGCAACGTGACTATACCAACAGCTATAGAACACACATAGCCTGCTCCAAAAACCATGTCGCTAGGGCGAATATTTAATATTTTAAGACCGTCAGCCATTTTGTTAGTTATAATTTTAAAAATACTTAACCCACGAACTTGGGCTTTTCAACGCGAACATCGGTGTAGTGAGGACGGTGTAGTCCCAAGGGTCAATTTTGCCCTAGGAACAATTAATGATTTTTAACGCTTTTAACCATTGGAGCGAACAGGTTTCATCCCCATCTACTTATTGGAAAAAACCCTGAGTCGATAGGACAAATAGCGAGGCAAATATCGAATTTAAAAAATTCGGCGGCAATTCGGCGGTCCGCCATTTTGTATAATTTTGGCAACCTTTGGGGAGTATTGATCAGGGTACAATACAATAAGATCAAGAGGTCAAAACTGAAATGGGGGTAGGTGAAAAATTCCCGGGAACACAAAAGACCCAGCCACTCTCCCCAACCCATCCAAAAAACCGGCTCTCTAGGACCAATAGCTCCCGAGGACCGCGAATCCAAAGTTTTGGCGGCCATCTTGTTAGCCAAACTGAGAGGCCATAACTTCCGGAACTATTGGACTAGAGGACTAGGATTTCCACTCCTAACTAAACCCCAACTCCCTCTACTAAACGTCTAGGGCAATTAACATTTCTCCCCCTCACCCCTAAGGTAAAGTCTACTGACTTCGGAAACGAGTACTCTGGAACGCCTACTATCGGATACCAAAAAATCCTCGTTCCGTGGACCGGTAGTTCCTGAGATATAGAGACTACCTGAAATTGTCTATTATCCCGAAAATTTTCCCTTTCCCACCACTCTTAAAATATAAACCGCACAGGGATAAACAGGACATCACTTAAAAGGTCTTTTAATAACCTATAAGAAGGCATCGGTCGCGACAAAATCCAGAAACTACCGGAAAATGCCGAAAATCCAAAAGAAAACTTTTTTTTTAAAATTATTTTTGATAAATACATGCACTAAGGTGCTCTATACCACTTTACAAAACAAACCCAAATTGGGTAAAGTAAATTAATATGCTTCTTTTTTTAAACTGAATTTATTGGCTTTATTTTCCGTAAATTTAGTATATTTGACAGTGTACCCCTATTAGATAGATCACTACACAAACATACACAACAAAAAACAATCAAAATACTTACCTTGAAAAATAGTGACTAGCAAAATATTGACAGAGCAGTGTTCAAACACTAAACATATACAGACATAACAACTTAATCACAATCAAAAACAAAGTACTTACCAGAACATACTTAACACAGGGCTTGCTCACCTAGGGTACAGCCAAACGAACAGCACGAGGTCAGGTGAACTGTGATGTGAACTGGAAGACGATATGGTTAAACGCATGAAAAAATCAATAGTAGACTTAAAACATTTGAACAAAATCAGAAAACAGAGCGAATGAAATAGAAATAATTAAAATAATGTAAAATAAAAACAGCAATAACATAAAGCATTGACAGAATTCACAGAATAAGGAAAGGAAAAAATCAGATGGGGTGCATGGACCAGGAAGAGATAGAAAAGATCAGGACCAGGCCGATGAAAGGAAAAGGGATCCAAAGAGAAAAAAATCAGAATAAAATTCCTCTCCTAATAATAAGAGATGTCAAAATGACATAAGAGGAAATATTCCAGGCATTAACAAAACCCTGAAATATATAAAGAGGAGGAGGATAAAAACATGAAGATAAAATTAAGAAGGAAAGCAATTAACCAAGAACGATTCATGAGTAGTTCGGTGGCGTAGTGGATAAGCGCCGCGGCCCGCGATCGTAGTCGTTAAGCAACTTTCGCAAGGATCAGTCACGAGATGGGTGACCAAAAAATTATTATCTCGAGCTACTCCGTGCTTCGGAAGGCACGATAAGCCGTTGGTCCCGGCTGCATTTGCAGTCGTTAATACCCTTCAATCCGCATTGGGCCAGCGTGGAGGGTCATGGCCCAACCTCCTTAACAAACCATAAGAAAGCTCTGAGCCCCTGCAGTGGGGACGTAAAAGGGCTGGTGATGGCGATGATGGTGCTTTCATATAATACGCCAGGTGAGTCCGGCAGTCCGGACAAAAATGACCGTCAGGGGCGCTTCTGGGGATGGAGCGGGTAAAGGTCGAAGACCAATCGCCGCTCATCCAGTGCCTAACTACGGTCATGGAAGGAAATTTTGTGTGAAAAGTGCGGTTAGATGCAGACACCGCAGCCCTCCCCCCACCTACGAGTGAATTGCCCGGCAGGGAAGCGGGTAACCTACGGAGATGCTGCAACTATGCGTACGCAGATCTGGCAGACCAGGAACATAACGCCTTCACCACGGAATGCAAAACAAGAGAGAAGTGGGAGTATCTGGCACGCTCGACCACTCAATACGAATGAGGAAGTCCAGAATAACAAGGATAATGACAACGCAATACATAAACATAACACACAAACACCATAGTAAAAAACATCCTGCGATGAATAAAACTATGAAACACACGACACAACATATATTGCGAAACAGTAGATATGGAATATAAAGTTCTGCAAAGTAACACAAACTAGCAACCTAATTAAAGGAAATACCAAACTAAGAGGATAAGTAAAGAACACAAAAATATATGAACAAGCATATATTCAAGTGTTCAACGCAAAATAAATATAGACGTAGCAAATAAATCGATTTGAGGATAGCCAAAACATTTGCAAATCATTTGGAATGCTGCTAAACATAATCATCATTCTATATCTGTTTCCATTTCTTGGGTATGTATGGTAACCACGTATGACGACGAAGAGGTAGACAGAACAAGAGGTGGGTTGCCGAATACAAAACAATTCCTGGAGTGACCTGGAGTAGAGTAGCCAGAGACAGAAAAGAGTGGAAGAAGCTGGCGGAGACCTTTGCCAAATGGCAAACAGAAAGTCGCCAATATTAAGTTAAAAGTTTTCAATAATGTATATTATTATATCTACTATGTTATCACGCCGCAACTCATCATCATCAATTTTTTCTACGGATTTTATGTATGATGCTAATATATACTATTGCCTTTTTTCGCACCATTTCCATATCATACGAGACGTATAATTTAAATGCTTGTATTGTATATCTCCATATCTATTGATAAACGTTATGGCTGCAGTGTTGTCTATGCGTAGCAGGATTTCTTTATAAGATAGCATTTTTGTGAAACTTTTTAAGCCATCAAAGGCAGCTAATAATTCCGAGTGTTGTTTATAGGATTATTTGCCTCTTCTGCTTTCCAAAATCCTCCGGTTCTTTCCCCATTACAAGAGGCTCCTCAACCTGTAAGTGAGGCATCAGTAAAAATTTCTAAGTAGTATTTACCTTCCTGTATTGGATTACTCCAGTGATCATCAAGCTCAAGCCAACATAAAAAAATTGATTGTAATTGGTCTTGTAGTGTCATTGAACTATCATAATCATCGTTTGATTTTTGTAATGCAAGAAACTTTTCTTTGTATACCTCGTGTATTCATAAGTTTTGATACAAAATAAAAGTTGCGTAACTTTTTAAATCAATAACTTATAATTCAAAAAATTTCAGTAACTATTAAATAGATAATAATCAGCAATAAAATATATATTTTATTCAAAATGACCGCCCTTGTTTTTGATACAGGTTCTTAGACGCCAGACGCTTTTGGCTAATCATCAATGGCGACACGAATCTTTTCTAGCGTAATTCGCTTTGTATCTCGCTTTCGCTTTGCTTTCGCTTCAATGACTCCAAGTTTGGGTGGGACTTTCGGAGCTCAGGGCTCTAATTCAGTTTTAGTCCATAAAGTATAATCCAGCGGATTGAGGTCGGAGCTGGACCCAATCATTATTATGAAATAACGTATCAGACAGGGGTTTCACCACGGGCTCTAAAATGTCATTCTGATGATTCTTGACTTTCACCTTGATATTTTGTTGGCAGAAATGGAGCGTGGTGACACCTTATGAAACTCCCCACAATACCTTGACACTAGCTAGATGATAAGTGCGCGTAACATTCCGTGTAAAAGCTTCCGTGGGACGTCCTTGCTACTTTTTAGCGTACACTTTATTGTTTTGTAGTTTGAACTTTTCTTTGACAGTAAAAATTTTATTATTATGTCTCCACAACAGCAATGGACAACGTTCGCGTCGTAACTTACGAAGACGATGGTTTAAAAAGTGAACTTTTGTACGGCTATAGGCCTTTACTTTAAGATCATATTTTAGTATTCTGTTCACTGAAACGCGCGGAATATTAGTCTGCAGAGCGAGTTTCTTCTGAGTGCGACATAGATTTCGGCGAATTCGCTCTCGGATGATTTTGATGTTCGTAGGCGTCCTCACAGAGCGTGACCAACCATTCCTTTGACGATCTTGCACAGAACTTGACTCTTTGTATCGCTGTATTATGTAATAAACGAAGTTACGGCTTACAGGAAAATAAACTAATCATACAAATAAACTAAAAGTTAACATTCCAAATCCAAAATCGGTAAAACAAAAAATAACAGCCAGTAACATTTTAATTTATTTTTAAAAGTTTGTCTAAAAACTTATGAACACACGAGGTATTTGTTGTTATTGATGATCTTGGGATGTCGGAGAACGCCGATTTTGCTGAGGGGAATCGGTTGCGTGGCCCGCCCTGTTTGTGTCTCCGTCCCGTCTCGGTGATTCATAATGTCGTTCATAGTGTAATCTTCCTCTGTAACATATGTAATTTATTTTTAAATCACTGTTCGTACGCTCGTTACGACGCTGGACTAATTTATACATATCACCCTTATCGGGAACATACAGTATCCATATGGACATTTGGATATTTAAAGTCATTGGACGTAAGCACGTTACACCGCGAGACTAAATAAGATAGGTCGCTCTTAACTGTTTAGTAACATTGTATGATATATACGTAATAAATAAATTACGTATATACGATACGATACTACGATTTTAATATTGCTTTCATAGCGAGGAAGATATCTTAATTAAAATATTTCTGATTATATTTGTAAAAAGTTATGCGTGTAGATAGGGAAAATAACTGTACGAGTTAGCATACCATTATATAATTAATATACATAATTATATATTTTCCTTGCACAAATAGAGTGATAATATAAATGACTTTTAGGTAATCTCTTCATCAAAGCATAAAGGAAAACAATTTTTTATTCTGTATAATAATTCCATGGTACACTTTATGTATCAATTATAGCTCTTTTTTTGTACGTTCCTTAATTTTTCCTTTAAATTTCTTATTTTTTCCGTATATATGTCTCACTATTTCATCGTTTTTTTCCCCATATTGTAATCAATACTTTTATTTTTATAATTTGTAAAGTATGTAATAAACGTTGCTTGCGATGCCCGCACAGAAAAGCGAATGATGTAATTACAGGTCAAGCGCAGGGACGCAATGGCGCGGATACTTTTTAAATTTCTAGTTCTTAAATTCTGTGCGATGCCTGATACATTGAGAAGTGGACTACATAGTGAATACTGAATCCGAAGGATGTAACACCGTTGTATAATTAGTACAGATAGTCATTAAAATGCCTACAAATTGAGCCACCACCTTGGGATACAATTTTGTAGCAGCTGTAAAGTAAATTCCAGTATGATTTCATCATAAGTATATCGTCATTGTGGTTAAAACTATATTGAGCTTATTATTTTTAAAGTCTACAATGTAATCTATTTCTTGCAAATTAATAATTACAGTTTTTATAGTACCTGTTATGCTCATAATACATTAAGAATAATGAAATGTTAATGTTGGTTACAGTACACTTTGAAATAATAATGCACTAAGCATTAGTATTTCAAAGGCTTCCAGTTTTTTATGATTATTTTTATCATGTGAGTGTAACACGTAATAATTTTTAAAATATCAATAACACACTTTTTATCCCAGTCATAAAGTTGAACAATATACCTATGTTAGAAATACATTGAAATAGATCTTGTATAAATTCCATCAACTTCTAAGTTCTATCATTTCTAATTTATTTAAAAATAGGAATAATTATAATAATACTACTTGGCTTCATAAAATGTGTCTGTGTAGCAATTATAATTGTTCTGTGTTTCATAGCTGTATTAAAAATTTATGAATACTTACAGATGGGCATATCTCCTGTGTAATTCGGTTTTATATTTTTTAAATCGTGGTACACTTCAAGGATTTTGGAATGAAATAAAATGGACAGTAATAATATTTCAAGGTGCTGCAGTTTTAGAAGTAAGTATATTTATATTTGGTTTTGATGTTTATAAAAATTGTTTGCTAATTGGGCTAGTGCTGCAATCTGGCAGCAAGAAGTTTCAGTAATATCACAGGTGTGTGACTTCCTTTACTTGTGAGCTCAGCACCTGGTGACCTTATTTCTGATTGTGTCTATATGATTACATTGTATGTTCGTAGATGATTGCGTCTGCTGTAACTGTGAGGTTTGCATTGATTTTATCAATAATCAATTGCTATAATATTTATTATTAAGTTAGGCATTCCCAGGCAAAGATATAGTACTATATTAGTACAGTTAAATGAATTCATCGGAAATTATATCATTTTCCTATAACAAGCAATTCGTCAAGCTATTTTTGTTATCTAATTTCTGCACTATATGGCGACAGCTATGTAGGAAGGCAATGACTTACCTATACTTATGTTTTTGAGAACACATTGTATAATTGGATAGGGGCCCAGATTCTTCAATTTTTTATGCGATATATTAATAAAATAGTATATAATATTTGGAAGTAGTGTTTGTGATTGCTAAATAGCAATTTTTCATGACAAAACATCTTGCAGAGATCAACATTTTAATGAAATGACACGGCGGTTGTTAACATTGTTTTAAGTGAGCCAAAGGTTACCATTTTTAACTTTCAATGTCAAAGAAATAGACATTTTATGACAGAACAACATTATGAAAGCTGACTTTAGTCGTAATTTTCAATGTCAAAAAAGTAGAAATTTTATGTTTGCATTAATACAGTGAAAGTGCTAACCAAGCCTCTTATCTACTGGCTATCAATGTGCGATGTATGTATATGCCGCAGTCGCCAATAAAATAGCTGTTCAATTGGACGGCTAGCTCATCAATGAATAGCTCTCTTATTGAAATAAATCTTATTATTATTATTAGTCCTTTAAATTTAATCTATTAGGCTTAAAAATCTATTTTTAGCAGACCAATCAGAATTAATCTAAGTCTTGTTTTGACCACGAGAAAAAAAAAAGACCTACTAATAATGGGACAGCCAGGAAGTGCGCAGCATGACGAACTCGAGAACGTTTTGTCTTCACCCAAATGTCACTTTTCTCGGGTGCGCCCATATCTCACTCTCGATCCGAGAAAGTGATATTTGGGTTTAGATAAAGCGTTTCTCGAGTTCGTTATGTTACGCGTGCAGGTCTGTCCAAGCCTAGAACAATCGTACGTTAATCGCAAATCAGACGTTCAATTAATCTCCGTCATAAGGAACTCAGTATATCATCGAAATATATGTAGAGTTTGTAATGACGTACAAAAAGGTCAGTGATAATTAATATTTTCAGGTGGTACACTCGATGATCGGGCTTGTGTCGTCGGGATTTATGGTGGTGTTAATGCAGGTGTACTCGCGCGTGTTTCTCGTATTCGGTGTGCTGCTTATCACCCATGGTGGCGCCACAAGTCCTGGTCTGCCGCTCTGTGTGCTCGCCTGGTCAATCACAGAGATAATTCGCTACTCTTACTACGGATTGAATTTGATGAACGCCATCCCTGAAACTTTGACGTTTTTGAGGTAATGCATTTTTAGTAGAAGATCCGAACCTAAATCGACCTTCACCGGGTTGATAATGGAATAAAACTTATTGTATAATTAATTTAGTATATTAGAAAATATATTAAAAATGGGTTGCCTAAAAAAATCCTGGACAGAATATTTTTAATTATTTTTAAAAAAATATTTTTTTATTAAATGTTGCAACATCAAGATAATAAGAAAAATTTAATTCTGACTTAAAGTATAAAACATATAGAATGTGCAGACGTTGGGTTGTCTATTATTTACCTAGACGAACTACTGGGTCGTCAGGTATAAACAGGTATATCGATGCCAGTTAATTTCACTTGATTTGATAATAAAAAAAAAATTATATCAACATAAGCGCTGTTTCATTACGAACACATTGATATAGGGATGTCTGCAAAAAATTCGGTCCTATTACGGGTATGCGAATTTTAAAAATTAAAATTTTAACGCGTGGGAAAGTGAGTGACAGAGAGATCCGAGGAAAGTATACCGTGTAATAGTAAAGGACCCAACATTGCAGTCGCATCAGGAAACCTTCTCTAATTCACCGAAAAACGAAATATCGTTCGAAATTTCGGACGTTTCCTATCACAATTACGTTCGTTCCGAATATTCAACGAACGAAAATGTTTGACATATTTATTTTCTAAACCTACTCTATTTCACGAAATGACGAAACGAACATTTGAGTTTGACATCTAATTGTTCGGATTTCTTACCTCAAATTGACGAAGTAAAAAATGTTACCTTTTCATTTTCATTAGCAATTTTTTATTTTCGAAATGGGGTCTATATTACTATTAATCGAGTCAGCTCTCAGTAAAGAACGATTAGACGGTATAAGAAATCGGCGGCGGCTTCGAAAACGTTTGTAAGTAATTACAGACTCAGTTGTGAATTATTTCAAGAACTATGCCAGGAGATTATACATTTACTGCGTCCACAGGCAAGATCTCATGCCATCGAGTCCACAATTAAAGTTGGAAGATATTTTATCGTAGTTCTTGATAAAAAAAATTGCATGCCTACCATTATGCATTTCATATTTTTATGATTCTTACAGCGTTGAATTTTTATGCCCGAGGTAGATACCAATGATTCGTATGTCAAAACATGGATGGGCCTACGGCCCAACAAACAGTTTCACGGTGTTAGGAGGTTAGGACTGTCCTCAATTCACCAGATAGGTATTATAAGAAAATATATTATTCCCTCAAAACCAAAATGAAAGGAATCTTATTAAGAGACAGTGAGTACCTAACTAATAGTTTATTGTTTATTTTGGCTTTATGTATGAATTGTGAATAAATACCTATAGAATTATGTCATTAATATGACGGATTTTACGAGGCATATCTGTCACTCACTTTCCCACGCGTTAAAATTTTAATTTTTAAAATTCGCAAACCCGTATTAGGACCGAATTTTTTGCAGACAACCCTATATCAATGTGTTCGTAATGAAACAGCGCTTATGTTGATATAAATTTTTTTTTATTATCAAATCAAGTGAAATTAACTGGCATCGATATACCTGTTTATACCTGACAACCCAGTAATTCGTCCAGGTAAATAATAGACAACCCAACGTCTGCACATTCTATATGTTTTATACTTTAAGTCAGAATTAAATTTTTCTTATTATCTTGATGTTGCAACATTTAATAAAAAAATATTTTTTTAAAAATAATTATAAATATTCTGTCCAGGATTTTTTTAGGCAACCCATTTTTAATATATTTTCTAATATACTAAATTAATTATACATAAGTTTTATTCCATTATCAACCCGATGAAGGTCGATTTAGGTTCGGATCTTAGACTATTTATATATAATGCATACTAAGTATGTGTAAAAAGTAATTTTTAGTTTTTAAGCGCATAAATTGAGAATGGTTTAAAAAATATTACTATATTTTTTTATATAACTGCGACGTTACAGAAAAAAGGTTGTGTTTTTTGTGCTTGATTTATTGAAAGTCAGACCTGATAACTTCTATTGGATTATCTAGTTGTACTCGTATGTATAGTTGAGGGTATGGATAGTTGCCTCTATATTCAGTGGACTCCTTTGTTCGAGTTATGTTTCCTTGGATATTGGTAATTTATTTTCGTCCAAGACCAAAGTTATAATTTAAGGAATATGACAGTATTATTTTTTTTATTGCTCTTCATCACGTGGGTATTAAGTTAAACTTGTTGTAGGACTTTCCATTTTAAGTAAGGATAAAGTATACAATACGAAATAGTGATGTTTTTGCTAAGAATAAATTATTATTACATCGTAATAATATTTTCTCTAAACAACGTGGAAAAATAATATTATGAATAATTAATTTCTATCTAGTTATTAAAAAAACCTTTCATTTGTTTTGTTTAAACGTTTTCTGAAATTTTTACAAGTGGGCACTTTGAGAATAAATTATTCTTTAGCGCCCTAATTTTTTCACCTATTTAAAACCACTATAACTTCTAGAGACCTTAGTTAACTTGAGATCTGAGCACAGCAGGTAGTAAGTACGCAAGTCTCTTGTTAACTTTTCCTAAGTCTTTACATAACGCCCCCATTTATTTTTCTGGGTCTCTTACCGCTCCCATTTATGTCTGCAGCGTCCACAAAAGAGAGTTATCGCCCACATTGGCAAAAGCTGCAATCTTTAAAAGAATCTTTTTCTTCTTTTTAATTTGAAATACAGTGAATTATTTTTTAAAGTTTTAATTAGGTAGGTAGGTATGTAAATAAAATATAAGCAATAAGGATTGTTTAAAAAGTAAGAGAGTTAAAAATGACAACTCATGTCTGCAATAACGACTGAAATTAGTGTGCAATAACGATGCCCCTGTTGCACAAACGTCTATTTAGTTTTAATGACGACTTTAGGCTCCAATGAATGTTCTAAAGGGAATTGTTCAGTTTGTACTGGCACTTTGGCTTTGAGTGGACATTATCTACAGTTATAAAAAACTTAATTTTTTAATATTTCATATCTTAAGGAAGTTAACTATTGTAATATTTTTACGGGAAAGTTTGACATTGTATATACATAAGCATGTGTAGTATTCCATAAACGATGTCAAAAAGTTATTTTTTTGTAAAATAATTTAATTACCTTATCATATTGATTTATTTATATTAGAAATAAGAAACAGAGATGGTTAAATAAAGAAATTATAGATTTACTCATATTTACCTTTAATTTTACAATACAATTCTACAAGTAAAAGTCAGTCATCATCAGCCCTTTTACATCCCCACTGCAGGGGCTCAGGCCTTCCTTATGGATGGTTAAGGAGGATGGGCCATGATCCTCCACGCTGGTCCAATGCGGATTGGAGGGTAAAGTCAGTACTTCTAAATAAACTTATTTATAAGAATAGAGTTTATATAAAACTTAATAAATTAATTACACTGCTCATGCAGTTTCTCTTCAGCTGGAGGCTGGCATTTGTGCGGTCAAAAAAGCAGCTACGTTTATATAACTTGGTGCCATGACGTCCTAATCTTTGAATCTTCCTTTGATAATATTTTTTTTTCTTTTTAAAGTTATTTACAGTCACGGTATATATTATTTGAATTTAAATAATGTTTTATGTAATTTGACCTTTGTACGCCATTGACAAGGCAACAGACGTGCCGTCGTGCTGCCCTGTAGGCCAAGACATTAATTCAGTAGACTGATTAAATGCTTCGTCGTCGTTGTTAGGACGGCGATTTTGCATTGGTTAGTACGTTCGATTTGCGATTGTCGTGATTAAGCAACTTTCGCCAAAGCCGGTCATTGGATGGGTGACCAAAGTTTTATTATTTCGATTTTCCATATTTTGCAATAACTTTAAGCTTTTGGGCCTGGATGCATCTACAATTGTTATCTACCACATGAGATTCTATCCCTAGAGAAGTTCTATCCTTAGGACTCTTCAGTGATATTAAAAGACTGATCCTGATAGTGATGTTTTCGAAATTATACGTTAATTTATAGTGGCACAACGAATCTACTCGCATTATAATGAATTTGACAACAAACTGCTTCTTATCTTTAATGGTTATTTTGAAAAATTCGTGAAGAAATAAAAAAAAAAATTATCTGTGTCTTATAAGAAGTCTGTGATTTAGTTACTGTTTCAATATGTGCAGAAAGTGTAACGTCTTACCTAACCTATATTTTTCCTTACATTTGTGTTGAACCGATGTTAAAAAATTTAAGACGAAATTTCATAAATATTGTAAATCCGCCCCTCTCTTCATGATAACCATTTATTAAAGTAAAAAATATAAAGGTACCGTATACGACACGGCACTAAAAACATAAAATTTTGTGTACTAGTGATATTACAACTCTTACATTATTTATATTTAAATATATGTATGCATACATTTTTGGTCCGTTAGCGCTGTTTTCAATTAGCATGTATAAATATTTATTAATTTCAACCGAGGCTTTTACATTATATTTCACATTTAACGGATAATAACGGATAATAATATTCTCCTCTTATCTTCATGGACGCCAGCAGGCAGTACGAGTGGGTAATTCAGTTTCTAACTGGTGTAACTTGTTTGCTGGTGTCCCTCAAGGCGGTGTGCTCTCTCCTCTTCTATTTTCTATTTTTATAAACTCCCTCACCTCTGTTCTTACAACCTCTTATCACCTGTACGCCGATGACCTGCAGATATATGCTCAGGATGACATTCACAACCTTAATAGAGCCATATGTACACTGAACCAAAATCTTGCGCGGATATTTGAATGGTCAAATAACTTCGGTATTTATGTCAATCCCAACAAATGTCAGGCCATTATTATCGGTAGCTCCCGACAAATATCGCAAACTAACCTCGACACTATTCCAGCTGTTACCTATGCTGGCTCGGTGATTCCTTATGCTGCTAAGGTAAAAAATCTTGGGCTTGTTCTTGACAGTTCTTTGCACTGGGATGATCAGATGGACAACGTCTGCAGTAAAATCCATCGCACCCTCGGCTCGCTTTATCGACTTAAGAACTTTCTCCCTCCCCGTACTAAGTCTGCTCTCGTCCAAGCTCTTGTACATCCCCTTTTCGACTATGCTGATGTTTGTACTTCTGATATCAATCAAACCTTTCTTAATAGATTGGATCGTCTTCTGAACAATACTATTCGTTTTGTTTTCGGTCTGCGCAAATATGACCACATCTCCAATTTTCGTCAACATCTTGAGTGGCTTCCTATTCGGGAGCGTAGGTGCTTAAGGATTGTTTGCACACTTTTCCAGATACTTTACGATCCACGAGCACCTGAGTATTTGAAATCGCGGTTTGAAATCCTCGGTGCCTCTCACCTGAAAAATCTTCGTTCTAGTAGTAGACTGGTACTCCAAACCCCTTCTCATCATTCCTGTTTTGTATCTCATTCCTTCACTCTAACCGCCATCCGTCTTTGGAATGCACTGCCTTTATACGTCCGGAGTGCTCCTAACAAATTTGCATTCAAGACAGCAGCTCGCAACTTCTATTATGCTTCAAACACGTTTTCTTGATCTGACACCTTTTTCGTACGATGTGTTATAGCTATATGTATGCATTTATTTATGTATGTATATGTATGTTTATTATTGTATGTATTTTATGTATATTTAGATATAGTTCTTATGCAGAGATATCAATAGCGTATTGTCGCCAATCGCCGCTTTAATTAATGTACTAAATTTACTGGTTGACTGGTAGAGAATGCCTCTTTGGCATTAAGTCCGCCATTTGTCTATTTCACTAGGCAATTAAGATTAAATAAATAAATAAATAAATAATATTGAGTAGTTATATTTTAAATATTTAGTTATATTTTAAACTAGCTTTCGCCAGCGGCTTCGGCCGCATGGACCCTAGAGAAATGTTTATTGGGATAAAAAGTATCCTATCTGTAATCCAAATTTCATCAAAATCCGTTCAGTAGTTTCGGCGTGATTGACGGACAAACATCCAAACAAAGAAACTTTCACATTTATAATATTAATGTTATAATAACATTATTTTAAATATAGATCCCAAATTGCAATGTTTGATTATTTTGAGGCGGACAGTAGGTAAACTGTAATGATGAATTCATTTGTAATATGATATAGATATGTTCGAATTGTTTATTAATCGTTTTTAAAATGTCGTCTTTCGGTATATTTCATAATCACAGGTTTGGATCTACTTATATATTTAGATATTTTTTCCATCCGGGGCAGAAACTTGATGTTGCGTCCTACACCCCTCCCCCTGCACGCGACTTATTTTTTTATTAAGGGACTTTGAAAACATATTCGTCTTTGTGACACTCTTTCTTATTTTAAGCAACTTCAAAAGGAGATTATCTATTCTAGGTTTATTTATGTATTTTAGTTGGAATGACGTAAGGTTGCTTAGATTTCAACTCAGGGAACACTACTAGTTTTATTGAAACCGGTTCAGTAGTTTTGAAGATATCACCACCAGCCCTTTTACGTCCCCACTGCAGGGGCTCAGGCCTTCCTTATGGATGGTTAAGGAGGATGAGCCATGACCCTCCACGTTGGCCCAATGCGGATTGAAGATATAAACTATTAAAAATTAATAAATTTATAAAAATAAGTAAAAATTTATGACCTTTTTGTTACCCAGCTTCAAAAAAAGGAGGCCTGTCATTTACCTGTAAACCTATATACACCGACTCCAAAAAAAAGAAGTTATCATTTGACCAGTTTGATGAAGTTGATTTTTTGTTGGAATTTGGTGCAATATTTATTGAGTCTAGTCTAACGAGTTTCTAAACACGTGTGCTACATTTTGCAGATGTATATAGCTATGTATGTGTGGATATATGATGTGTGTCCACATTTTTCTTGTAAATTAGACGTAGGATCAAAACTATTCTCTTTTTTAACCGAATAAAAACAAAATAGATTAACTATTCATCAATTCACAGAACATCATAAGAGAAAACTTACTAAACGACTTAAGAAACGAACTGCTGCATTGCTATCAGAACAGTGGGTTATATTAAGTTAGAACTGCGACCCTAACAGATATATACATATATCCAGTAAATATGTTTAAATACAGATAAAGGTGTCCATTTATTTTAAGTTAGGATTAATATGGATCGGTGAGAACTTCTATTATTAAAAAATAAAGAATTAAAACGAAATAAACCGATTTTAAAAAGAAATCGTAATAAAGAAAAACGACTGAAAAGAGATAAATAATACCACAATTTTGTATATTCAATAAAATCGAAACATAGAAATTGAATTAGTATAAGCGCCGCGGCCTTCGATCGTTTCTGTTAAGCAACTTCCGTATTGGTTGGTCACGGGATGCGTGACCATAAAATTATTATCTCGAGCTACTCCGTGCTTCAGAAGGCATGTTAAGGCATTTGTTCCGGCTGCATATGCAGTCGTTGATGCCCTCCAATCCGCATTGGGCGAGCGTGAAGGGTCACGGCCCATCCTCCTTAACTATCCACAAGGGTTGAGCCCCTGCAGTGGTGACGTAACAGGGCTGATGATGATGATGATTGATAGTTTTTATTTATTTTCAGATATTCCACATTCCTGATTTTATACCCGTTGGGCATCACAGGTGAACTTCTATGTATGTATCACTCTTTGGATGAAGTCAAGGAGAAGAAGTTGTTCACATCGACAATGCCCAACCAGTGGAACTATATATTCGACTACTATTACTTTTTGATTGTGTATATGCTTTTATATATTCCATTCTTCCCGTATCTATTCTCACATATGTTGTCACAAAGAAAAAAAGTTCTCGGTGGCGACAAACAAAAAATTAAGTAACTATTAAATTGTGTTTATTGAAATGTTATTTATGTAATAAAAAATGGGTTGGGCCTATAATATAATGCATTTTATTGTAATTGTGTTAATTGACATGACAATATTACAATAAGTATTTAATTGTATGAGGTGAAATATTATAATAAGTATTTGATTGTATGAGTAAATGGAAATAAAGAAAATGTGTATAACTCGCTGGGTTTATAGATATTGAGTAAGAGTTGCCTAACGCATTTATATTTTCGCAAACGCTATTAAAATGTTTTAATGTTCAGGTTATTCATTGTATTATACAACACTAACTTTTTATGATTTTCGCATTAAATTAAGAAGGGAGTTTTTATCGCATGGGACTTAAAAGCTAAGTATTGGGCTCCTTAGTCGGGTACATTTCAAATCGCTGTGTCTTGGCACTGAAATAAATAATGAAATAGCGGCGGTTTTAGTTTAATGGAATAGAATGGTTTTACGCTATTCTATAATTCTAAACTAAAATAAATTTAGTAGTTTGTAAGTGTATAAAATATTTTTGTAATCATTGGCTTACGGTGCTAAACACGGATTTTTATCTCCATGAATTTGTCATACAGATACTAATTGTAACATTATTTTTTATTACGTTCTGAAATTTTTGTTTTAATTTATTGGTTACAAATAATTATTTAAATGGTTCTATCAAATATAATTCAATATAATCGAATGCATAATTTTCAAAATACTATAAATAAAATATTATTTAGCCACTTCCTGTTAGTGGGTCATGTTTGGAATCTCCAATAATTATAACTAAAATTGATATGTAAAAACACCCGTTTATTTTTATGTTTTGTTATCATTTCAGTTTCTTGTATTGTTATTACTGTGTCGATGTTTTATTTTTATTTATTATCATTAAAGTTTAATTTTTAAAGTTGCTGTTGATTTTTATAGATTGCCTGTCTGTTAATAAATGTTTAAAATAATTTACATTGAATAATAATCACTTTTCGAAGTGGTACAGGGTCTGATATGATATTTACGTTTAAGTTAAATATTTATTATAATAGGTGAGGGGTAATCAAATAAAAGTTTTAATACAAACTTATAATTGTTATTTTAATTATCCTCTTCAGAATAGGTATGATGCTTAGGTAAAAGAAAGAAAATTCTATTTAGTCTGTCAATCAGATAATAGAAAAATATTACATACTTTTTTTTTTGCTTAAATTTAATAAGAAATAGCTTAGGTAGTAGACATTATCATTATCGTAGATTATGTCACAGCATTTTAGAAATCGTACAAAAGCGTGACGTCATGTGACATTTTAACTCAATCTAACAGGAACCAGCACAGACAAGAGGGAGAATCAGGGATTGCTATGTTACTATGAACTATGTGAAAGTGAATTTTGTCTTAATAAAATACTTTTAAGTCGTATTAGCAATTCAAGATGCGGAATGGTACCTACATTTTAAATTGAATAATTGAAGATTTTCGTTAGAGGAGGCAATTGCTGTTGACAATACTTTTATGTTACTTTTATATTAGAACGAATCTAATATAAAAGTAATGTCAATGTAGTGTTCCGTATTCGCGTTAATTTTGAGATTATGATTGAAGATCCTTTATAATAAAGGACGTCTTAGGGATGACATAGTGTCTATGATCAAAGGTATGGCATCTATTTATTATCTGTTTGTATTTAAAATCAGTATTCAAATTAAAATATTTTTTTAAGTAATAAAATATTCCTGACGCTTGGTTCCTGGAAAAGACGTTTCAGGACTTGGAGTTTTCTGTGTTGCGGCGGCTATCATTTATCGGCTGCAGCGAACGATAAATTTTCGCCAACGAAAACGCAATGTTTGAACTGTTGAGCGTTCGGGATTAAATAATCTAGCGTTCAGATAATTGATGATTAGGATAACCATTATATTTTTAGATAATCAATGTTCTACTGTACCTATAGGAACATAAATTTATCCAACAAAAGACGTCAAAGAAGTAAGTACGATGAAACGAAATATCGTCATAATATTTGTTAAAATGTATTCTATTCTATCCTAACCTATCCTATGGCCAGACTTATGTCTCGAGATTAAAACATAATTCTATAGAGTCAGCTTGAAATAGGTTTGAGTCACTAGACCACAGAGGTCAAGACACTATTTAAAAATAATCTATTGAGTAGTGTCTAGATGGTCCATCACATTTAAAAAAAAATCAAGCCATATAAATATAATATTAAAATATTTGTTTATTATGAGTACCTAGTACTTTCCTATCCATACTAGCTTAGACTTTTACAATAGTGTCGGCTTGGTAAAACTACACTTTACCTTGCCGACCACTTGTTTTTGTCGCATATACTTATCTAAATAAATTTTAATCACCAGATTATCGTCTCTGATTTTTAATAATTACAATGATATGATATTATACCTAATTTTAATTGCCGTATAAGCTAGACGTTGTATAAAATCAAATATTACGCTGTAGTGTAATAGTCTGCAGTAGTTGTTGGCGATATGAACAAGAAGTATACAGCCCTTTTGCTAGCCCTATTGGTGGCAGCCGCAGAGGCCAACAGCTTGGCAAATGCGATTAAACCAAAGCTACTAAGTAACGAGTAAGTAAAAAAGGATTTTCATTTGTTTTTTTTTTAATTATAGACACCGGGGTTATTTGTAGTAAATAAAGCAGCGGTTCGTAACGTTTTTGGTTGGAGACCCACAATTAAATATGCATATTTGTTGCCAGAGACCTTGACGTTTATTTATTAAATTAAATTTTTGGATTAAGGAGAAGTCAGTGGTTTGTTAAAAATAATAAACAGCGGTTTGCAGATTTAATGTTATTATATAATTTCGAGTCACGATGACAGTTTTTTAAGACTGCAAGCGTGGTAATATGCTTGCAGTCTAGGGTATAGAAAAACTATAGGGCAATTCTACTGATGTTATCGTAATTATGACTAGTCAATAGCGCTACAACTACAACCTTTTATCACCACTGATTTACGAGTATGAGGAAGACATTGCATTTTTAATAATGAAATTTCAGGTAGATAGTATAATTGAAAAATACAATTAATTGAGATTTTATTAAGATAAGATTATTGCATAAAAATTAGCATAATTTTCGTTTTTAGTCCATTCATACCCGACATGAAAATTCAAAATATTATTTTTACCTTGGTAATCTGCGTATCTGATATTAGAAACAGCGTAGGTTAGAATATGTAGTAATATTCTTAGGTAACTAAGTAGAAGTAACTAATATTTAAATCTGTAATGAATAAATGAAACAACTTTTAAACGGTTTCTTTGCTTTTGTGTTTAGTTTTATTTACGTTTCGGTCCCTTTACAGGTTCCGTGTTCATATAGAACTAAGATGTTGTATTATTAATTAAAAATATAGCTACTTTCCAAAACCAATACCATTGAAAACATTCACGATATATTTTTTATATTATATAGCAACGTTTACATTTATTAAATGATAAAAAAAAATACATTTGACTTATTTATTGATCCCTGCCTACCATATTTTACCAACAGTTCCAAATTTGGGAGTCTTGCCTGCGAGGAACTGGCGAAACAAACTCCGACAAGAAAAGTGCATTGTTCCCTTTGATTTAATATTTACAGAATGAACTAACTGAATCTTTTGGTTATGCAATGTCTGATCTGGATCGAGATTTTATTTTACTAATTATTAGATCCCCAGCGATGAAACCGTTTAAAAGTTGTTTCATTTATGGAAAGTGCGCGTGAAAATAAAAGAAATCAATCTGTAATGAATACTGTAATGACTTGTTTCAGAATTCGATTCACTCAATTTAAATTTATATTTCTTATGATCTGTCTAATCTCTGTCTAATTTAGGAAATCTTAGTTACCGTAGTGTTAAATTTTTGAAATAAGAACATTATGTACTTAGTTTATTCGTCCCAGACAAAACTCGAACCTGCATCATACTGCGTCATGCTGCCGTATTTTGTAATAACTATAACCTACCTAATTAACTGTCGCATTTCTCGGTGTTACTACAATAAGACAATATTTGTTTCCAGAAAAAACTGGGATGGCCTGGGTCTGCACGCAGATGTTAACGATTATGTCGATAAAACTATTCATATGATAGTGCCATTCATGCGGGAATATGGTTTTGATCCTATGAGTTTGCCAGATGTCGAAGAAGGTTTTGAAGTTGTACGTATAACTCAATATTGCCTTTATTTTAATAACTACCGTAAGTAACACAATTGCATATGAGGTTCCTACAAATGTCTTTCTTCAGTTGATTTTATACTTAAACCTGAATTCATTACGGTAATATATATCTTAAATGAATAAATAAATGAATAAAATGAATGTTGATAGCTTAATAATATGGCATAAGAGTCTTAATATCGCAAACTGCATTAGCGCACCTGGAATATTAAGCCACATCCTTCCTATCTTCACAATTAAATAAAGATAAATTTATTCGCGTTGTTGCTCTCTTTGGAACGGCTGAGCCACATGTTTTGAATATGGTCTAGTGTTTGTGAAATAAGGGCGTCTAGAGTTATAATCGTGGCTCTACCAGATCTGATAACCTTTTGACAGTGCGAGATATAGTCTCAGCTTGGTAAAACTACATGAAAATATTTTTATAGTTATGAATATCTTTTACAGTTTCCCGATCTAGCCGCTCTTCTTAACTAAATAAAAAAGCAAAAGCAGTGCATGATGTATAACAGAATTCTTAATTTAAAAACTTGTTGGTTTGAACAAATTGATGAGATTCGATGGTTTCTTCCGCAGAGGCCTGTGTTGATTACATACAGCGCATGGCTAAGGATCACCAATGGATACATGACTGGTCTCGTGAACGTCGAACGGTCCGGCGACCAGAGGGTGCAATACTTCGCCAAAATGCTACGTGTCCGTGTACAACTCCAGTTTAGGGACTTAGAGGTAAGGAAAAAAATAGCATACATGAAATAACATAACTAACACATAAGTTATGACATAAATTCGCTACCCTTAAGAAGTTCCGATAAGCCCATAAAAGTCTATGTTTTTCTTCTGCTTCTTCGACTTGGTAGTAAATCCTGCCCGGTGTTTTGGGATAATATGCTGTATATCCCTTCTGTCCGTTATACAGTATCGATTCTTTATGTTCCATAAGTTCCAAAATCACTAGCCCTTCGCTTACTGGCTCTTTGAATGCAATATTTTAACTTAAATCATAAAAAAATAACTTCCGTTTAATTCATCATTGTCGTATTGTGATTGAAAATGGTTATCATTTATTTATTTAATGTTTTCTACAGTTCATTTACAGATATTTGGTGAAAGTCATGAGAATCGGCCCAACGGGTGGTATCATTGGTTCCCTAAATCGTTTCGTGGTGATCTTCGATGTACTCATCGATTTCAACAACGACGAATTGCATCTCCAACAGTTTTCACTCACCGATATAGGGTATGATGAAATACATTTTTTTTTAAGTCTGACAACATTTTTACACCTCAACTTACATTCGTATTAGTATAATGAAAAACAATTGTAGGCAAACATTGCCTGTGTTTAGTGTTATATATTAAAATAAGCGCAAATAAAATTATCACTACAAAAGTATCGCGTTACATAAAGTCTCCCGTTACTGCTTGATCTGCCACACCGCCTGGTTGGCTGGAAGAGATCTCTTATAGAGATAAGCTGTGAGATAAGGCCATACTTGCTTGTGACTACTATTTTTATTTTAATTCTATTTTTTGTGCAATAAAGAGTATTCGTATCAATATTAAATAGATTAAACAAGTAAAAAGTCAAAGTTTAGAAACATAAAGCGCTTGGAGTCAACTTTAATAAGCATTGGCGCCGATGTACCTGTAGTGTGCGCGTATCATGACAACTCAAGAACGTTTTGTCTACACTCAAATGTCACTTTCCTCGGGTGCGCCCATACGATACCTCACTCTTGACCCTATTGCCATGTGGTGTAGACGAAGCTTGTCATGCTACGTGTGCATGTAGCTAGAGTTAGACATGCTTGACATGCACGATATATACCTCGAGTTTGTGTTATTTAAAAAAATGTTACAGGCCCCGCTCTGGTTTTGTTCGGCACTGAACATTAGCTGACCGGCCTTCATCAAAGTTGCTTAACCAATACAATAATTATTGACAGCATGGTTAACCATTACACAATCGTGATCCTTAAGCCATTTGATAACTTATTAATGTTTATCAAATCAAATCTATTTTAACCAAGGGTAGTTAAAAGTAAAGCACGTCGCCATTTTATTGATATTAAGACGAATACGATTAGATAAGCATTATTATCTCATCCCAGGTGCGTTTTTATAAATATCATTTGTATCGTAATTATATCTTAATTCTTGTTTATTTTATCGACATCTGATAAAATAATAACCTACTGGTATGATTACAAAAAATTCTTACACATATCATTTGTGTAGGTATAATGGACGGTTAAGACACGGAAACCAATCGCTACTGCACTGATATAGCCAGTTGTGTCGATCCCTATTGCTGACAAATTTCATTAACTAAAATACAACGGTATTTAAAATATAACATTTTTATAGACTAGCTATTTTTCCGCGACTTCGTTAAGATGTATGTCGAGGCAATATAATTTTCCAAAAAGAAATCGGTCCAGTAATTTCGGAGCCCATTCAATGTGAATAAGAGGACAGATTAATCTTTCCTTTTTATAATATTAGTATAAATTGAAGAGCCCGATAGCGTATTGGTTAGCGTGTCTGATCTACGACTTCCTCCGTGCTTCGAGGCGTTGATCCATATTGCATCTGTAGTTGCAAAGCCGCATTGGGCATGGTGGATTATGACTCATTCTCTCTATTCGATTACATAGGGAAGGACTGTAATCATATTGGGGAAAGACTGTGCACTAGGGATATTAATAAGTCGACGATTTAAATAAACGATTTACAAATCACATATACTTTTTTAGAAAATACAGCATGAGTGATATAAAAATTGGTTATTTTTGAATAATTTTGTTAAATTTTTTAATATAAGGCCCCTTACTCTCGAACGCAATCGCGACCGATCGACATTGCAATTGCGCCAGAGTATAACAGTGAACCAATCAAGAGTGCGGAGTGGCACAATTGCAATGTCGATCGGATGCGATTGCGTTCGAGAGTAAAGGGGCAGATGGCTAGTACAGATGTAATCTACGTACATATGAATCTGAAGCTGTGACAGCGCTGTTGTCCAAACCGAGACCGACACTGATTTTATTAAACAGCAAAACTGAAAGAATAAAATCTCGCTAGCTTGTTTACGTGTGGGTTGGTCTGGGTTGGTCATGATATGCCACTGTTAAACAAAACACAGTAAAGCATTATTGAAAAGGTTTTATAACTTATATTTGTCATCTCCTAATAAATGATTCTGTTATATAAAAACAGTATGATATTCTTAATGAAAAATGCTTCCCCTGGAATTGCGGATGCAAATTTGATCAAATATTATAAAAGTATGATGTTATTTAAAATATAAACTCTGATCTTACAAACTATATTGTTCTAGCCGTCTCCGTGTCCGCTTCACAGGAAACATACTTACTGATTGGCTGGTGAACCCTGTGATTGGTGTGTTTACGAGAATTTTCGACACGATCATCATTCGTGTGGTGGAAATCAACATTCGTAACGGCATACAGGACGCTCTCGACTTCATCAACACTAATGTCAGGAACATAATGCAAAATCTTGAGTCGCAAGGTTTCAATTATATGATTAACTATTGAAAGGCATAGTATGCATCCATATGGTTTGTTTCGAGTTAAAGATTTATATTAATAAAAGTGTTAAATCGCTCTGTTCTTTATTGTAATTACTTTATGGTTTTAATTCAATTGCTATATACAGCAGCATACCAAGTTATTACAACGGTAATAAATGAATAAGGAAAATCGATTAAATAAGTTGGCAGAAAATTGCCTGTTTGGCCAAAAGTTGTCTGCTATCGGTTTTTTATATGGATGAACATATGCCATAATAACCTATAAATATATCTTCCACTAAATTATTAAAAATATCTCAGAGATTGAATCTTAATGATAGCTATTATATAACTTTTTAATTCCATAAAACCTAACTCGTCATTGCATTTATTAAAAGGTAAATTGAATTTTAAACAAGTTACTCTTAACATCCAAGATGTACCTATAACATTATTTGTATGTACACCGCTTGTGAAACATGAAAAATATATCCACACCGAAAATTATTGTTAATCTTAAACCCATGAGCTTGAGGTGGTCCCATAAAAATGATATGGAAATCGGATATGCATTCTCCTTTTTATTACAAAATAACTGGAAAAATTCTTTCGAACTTTTGTTATTTCCTATGAGTTACGTAAATTATTTTTTATGTATCGTTTTTGAAATTGGTTTCGTTTACGCACACAAAGTTAGTATAGACATAATGAAGAACCCAATGTTTTCTAAACAGGTTTAAAATAAGAAACATTTAAAAAAAGTCTATCAAATAGAAATTGACGAAGATTAAGATTATACATCATCATAATAAAGTTACACTTAGATCTTTTCTTAAATCTTCTACGATTATTATTCGTTATGTGCAGGTTTGGTCAATATTAGTTCATAATATATTACTCTAGCATTTAATCGAGTCTTTTAACTAATTGATAGTTATCATATTCTTTTTATATAATTGGGATTCAGGCAGAAATGTATTTTATTTTCATAGGTCTTATATGGAATATTTTTATCTAATCGTGTACAACTTTTTAAATTGAACTTGGTGAATTGAGGTTCTCGTGGATTGTGTAATAAACAAACAATGTTTTAATCTTTATTTTATTCGAGGATGTAACCTCTATGGCATTCACAGTGGTAGGGACATGTTATAAAACCAATTTTTCATTAATGATAATAATAATATTTTAATGATATTGAAGTAAGTTTATATTTATAAATATTAAAAAATACATAACGAACAGCAATAGCATAAGGAGATTTAAGAAACGATTGTTAATTGAAAATAATAATATCATAGTATTAGATTCCTTCGAGGTAAATAGGTACCTATATCAATTCCAATAAGAAGAAAAAAAAGTATTATTTTCTAAAAAAAATAGTACAGCGCTCTTTTATGATATTAATGCTGAGTAACTGAAACAGCATCGTGAAGTGACATAGCTATAAATAAGTTTTAAACACGTCAAAATATCATTTACAATGTTAACTGCGTATGTGTTGGGATAAAATTGTAGAACGACGACGAACGAGAACGAACGTATTTTAAATCCAACGATTATAAATTAGTCGGATCCACACCGAACGATCTAAATTGCATCGGGTGACGCAGAGATCAAACTTATATTACATAAGATTGTATCTTAGGTCGATCTCCTATGTAGCGCGCTTTCTTTGCGTTGGATCACCATGAAACGCTCGATGTGGATGCGGCTGTTAACTAATGACGAATAATGTTATTAAAACTCTACAGTTTACCCTGCGTAGCCGAATATGGTACCTACTGTCAATGTCATTGAAAAATTGTTTGTTTTTCAGCACGTCTTTGAGATTTTTACCGAAGGTTATTTTTTATATGTGTTGTAACCTGCACTAACGAAACATTCTTTATATGTGAACTTAACTAAATTGTTATGATATCTAAATAGCTAACTCCAAAGATATCTAAAACATTACTTCGCTGAGAGTTCTTCATATATTATGGGTATGAAAAGTAATAATTTTAGTCCAGATATTGATTTGGATAAGTTTCAAACTAATCTTTATTAAAAAAATTTGAAATAGTGGACCGGTATGTTCATATACTTTCGTACTCCTGTTTTAAGTGCAGATATCATAAAACAATTTTCACTCTTACACATTATCGCATTTATCAGTTCGTGATGTTTATTAAATTTAAAGCAAACGAATAAAAATTTATAAATAAGACCTAGATTGACACGTATTTTTTATATTCTATTTAGTATATACTTTCTAATCATACTAGTAAATAAAACTAAGCAGTAAGTTTAAAGTAACTGTAAAGTTACATTACCTTTGTAATATCCCAACACGATAAAGCAAATGCATTTTTTTGTATATAAATTGAGGCGTTTTATGTTCAAAAATTCATGACTATACATTACAATAATACTTTATGGAATGATGACGAACCTATAATCATTGATTTAGACTAAATATAAAAAACATTCATTCAGATCTTCACAATTTACAATCAAAACATCAAATAATTCAAGGAACAACTTGCAATTGCTCGATTTTTTTTGTATATAAATAAACTAAAAACTACTTAATTCCGTTTTATTTATGGAATTACTTTAACTATTTAATTTATTATAATTACACAATTGTGATGAATCTCTGGCTTTAAGATGCATCATTAACGCACTTGCTTTATCCATTCTTAATTTTTTAAATCGATACATATTTCGTATGCTACTCTATGACGCCTCCATTTTTTATGTACGTGTCTTTCGCGATCTGATAGAGTTGTGCCGACATTTTGTCACTGGTTTCGTTCACCATTTTTGTGAAGTGCGAGTTAGGGTTGGTGAGTAGGCAATAGGGGTGATCAAATTCCACTAGACGTCCCGCGTCCATCACCATAACTCGATCTGAATCCATGATGGTATTAAGGCGGTGAGCTACGGTCAACACCGTGCATTCAGCGAATCGCTTCCGTATCGTCTTTTGGATAAATTCATCGGTTCTGCAAGTTAAAATAGGAATCAAGTATATGTATAACGTATAGCCATAAATAAATAAGTTATTTGTCTATGGTATAACGTATATTGTTATGCTCAGTTAAAATTATATCTTTAAGCGCTTCCATTGCAACATCAAATAAAATCTTATTGAACGTTAATTAAGGTCATGTGATAAATAGTTTTATCTGATTAGAGTAGTTGATCAAATAACAGCTTGAGTCGATCACCAATTTTTTGTTAAAAGTGCCAGTTTATTACTTGTTTACCTGGGCAAATACGAGAAAGGTAAATATTTCGAAAAAATCTAATTTTTGGTAAGATTTATAAGAAATCCCGCTTTTCTACGAAACTAACGTTACAGTCAAAAGTTTACAGCATTCTTAGTCACAACATACTAGATTTTTGTCAATGAGTGTTTTAGTATACTACTTCTGTTACTTCTTCTGTAGAAAAATATGACACATTTAATAATGTGTATACAAAATAAATACCAATTGGCGACTTACTTGGGGTCGACGTTGGCAGTGGCCTCGTCGAGTACTAAGATACGATTGCCTCGCAATATGGCTCGCGCTAGACACACCAGCTGCCGTTGTCCAAGAGAGAAGTTCGATCCACCCTCCGAAACCTTGAAGTCCAGCGCGGGTACAGCTTCTTTTAAATCCACCTGGATATAATTAAAATGGTCTCTAGCATTATGATATTATTAGGATCAATATTTACGCACGCAACATGTACGCTTGCAATTCTCAGTTATTTCAGTTCGCACATTTAGCACAGAAATTTTAAGAATGCAAATAATAAGTAGGTATTATGAATAATAGAATAAGTTTGAATACTAGAACGTAGTGGACTTACGGCTTCGAGTGCATTCCAGAGTTGGTCGTCGTCGTAATTGTTGAAGGGATCGAGGTTGTACCTCACCGTTGCCGAGAAGAGTACAGGTTCTTGAGGAATTATTGAGATCTTGGAACGCAGCTCCTATAATTTTGTTGATTAATATAGGATTATATGAAGATCCAAGAGACAGAGTGAATGTATTCCCACAAAAACGTAAAAAAATGGTATACCAGAGAATGTGAAAAAGACATCTGACGCGGGGCAAAATAACAAGCTCCAAAGCAAGAAAAAGGAAAAGAAATAGCAAACATTGTTCTAGCTATGACTTTTTAGATATCCAGAAGAGATTCATAGCTTAAGAGTCAGGTGGTCGCACACACACCTGTTCCATCCCATAATCTGTGTTTATCCCATATGATTGGGAAATTGGGAATATTTAAAGATTTGTAAGACAGAAAAATCACTGAAGGTATTGTGGTCAGTATTTTATTGTCATTTATGAAACTATACTGTTAGGTGTTTTTTGTATTTCTAAAATAATTTAAATAATTGGAGAAGATAGCTATAAGTAGATCTAAGTGGCTAACTTTATCTTCGTTTAGTAGAAATTTTATGAAGCGATTACGTACTTGTAAAGCCAAATGGCCTGTGTTGACATCGTCGATGAGGATTTCACCTTCCACTATGGCTAGCCGGAACAATGATGAGATGAGAGACGATTTACCAGCGCCGGTGCGACCCACTATACCCACCTGGAGACAGGACATAAATGTAAAATTGTTGCAAGTATATTAAACGGAAACCTCATTATTAACGACGATTAGAGTTAGTACTTGGTTTAAGCCATTGGTCGCCTAAAGCAAATTAAGAAATTATCAATAGTTAACTTATTTAAATCAGTTAATGGTTTAACGTGGTATAAGTTAGTTCTCACTTTATTATGATACAAACTTTCCGCCAGCGGCTTAACCCGCGTGGTCTTATATTATACATAAAAACCTTCCTTTTGAATCATCCTATCTATGAAAAAAACCCGCATCACAATCCGTTGCGTAGTTTTAAAGATTTAAGCATACATAGGGATATAGGGACAGAGAAAGCGACTTTGTTTTATACTATGTAGTGATAGTGAAGTCGTAAAGTCATTATAAAAGAGAACGTAGTAATCGAATATGGAATAATAAGATTCCTTCTTAAATTGTGCTCAATTTTTAAATTATCAATAAATTAGTACATAATAAATTTCAGTATTCCATTTTTGATATATGTACTATTATATATTTGATAACTTTTCTTTAATTGTATAAAGAATTTGATTGACATCCAAAACTCTAATCAATAAATTTTTAGAATCAGAATCAAATCAGATTTTTTTTCCTCTTATGACTGTTTTAACGGTCGTGGTTTTATTTTTTAGAAAAATATTTAATTACACACTTGTATATGCTGAAATAAACAAATTCGGCTTTAATAATGTCTATGTATTGAAAGTGATTGAAAGTAAAGTAAAACACTAAACCACGTAAAAAACAAAATAAAATAGAGAACTTAGCGGTAATAGCTGTTGCTGAGCCTCAACGTCAAAATCAAAATAAGAATTATAAGTAAAACCTCAAATAACAATAACGTTCGTCATATATACCGTCGTGATCGTCAACATTGATAAATAAATATATATAATTTACCTTCCATCCGCTTTCAAGGATTAAGTTAAGGTTCTTGAGCACGGGTAGGTCTTCTGGTGTATACTTCATGTAGCAATTGCGGAATTCGATGCGGCCGCGTGACGGCCAGCCCTTTGGTGTTTCACGCTCTGGAATAAGTTCATATATCTTTAGATCGTAAGAATTAAGGTCACTGTATTGCAAAATGATTATTTGCTGCAGGTATATATAGGATATAATAAATAATCATTTACGATAATTTATAGAGAATACGTAGTAATTGAGTAGCTCGGTGGTGTAGTGGTTAAGCGCCGCGGCCCGCGATCGTTGTCGTTAAGCAACTTTCGCAGGGGTCGGTTACGGGATGGGTGACTAAAAAATTATTATCTCGAGCTACTCCGTGCTTCGGAAGGCACGTTAAGCCATTGGTCCCGGCTGCATTTGCAGTCGTTAATACCCTCCAATCCGAATTGGGCCAGCGTAGAAGGTCATGGCCCATCCTCCTTAACCATTCATAAGGAAGGCCTGAGCCCCTGCAGTGGGGACATAAAAAAAGGACTGATGATGACGTAGTAATTGATCAACCCATTGATTTTACTTTGCTTTACACTAAAGGGATTTTTGCAATGTCTAAAAATACATGTGAAATGCTGGTATAGATATGCTTATTATTAACTGTTGGAATCAGTGAAGTCCGAATTATAATTTGCTTACCTCCTTTCTCCCATTGACTTTCACGTTCAATGTGAGTATATTGTAAGATTCGTTCCACACTGGTCATCTGTGAGATCACTTCGGCTGTCTGCCGTACGCCGAATTGCAACATGCCCGTAAGAATCAACGTTTGCGATATTGCCAACCCGACGTTGCCCGAAAAGATAGTTTCTGGTAAGAAATAAATATAATTGTAAAGAGGCAGAGTGTAAAGACTGTAATGCTTTTAGTAGTATAAACACTTCAATGTATTCTATAGAATACGATCCGGCTGTATGAATGTGAAGGTCAACTTTGTTTTTTGTGCAATAAAGAGTATTAAAGGTTAATCTGTTTTTTTAAAGAGTAATATAGAAATGGTAGTAGAAGAGGCGAATGTAAGAACCGTGCCTTACGGCGCTCGGCCCTCTTTGCCTTACCCACAAGGGATACGACGACGCCGTGAAGACTTAATAGATTCTTATTACTAGAATAGAATGTATTGCCTCGAAAATTTTAACTGCAACTGTTACGTATCCTGTAAATACCATAAATGAAAGTTGGTGTTAAAGGCAACCCTACTGTAATTTAATAATTGTACCTAAAAATAGACACCTGCAAATTTTAGCAGCCGGATGTTAGGTTACTATTAATTATAAAACTCACTGCTGTCAATAACGAGGAACGCAACAATCACTATAGCAAGGTACAGCACGCAGATGAAGTCAAGCCAGAATCCGAGTGTTACACCACTTGCCAAGTAACTACTCCACGTGGACGTATGGATATCCTGTCAAAATTATTTGATTGAGTAGTTTTCTTCAGGAATATCTGTTATTTTTTACATTTTTAACCGTTGGCCTCTTACATTTTAATTTTTTTCTTTTCTTGAAAAGCCTTAATCCTTAAATAATTATTATTTACAAAATAATATTAATTGTCTGGCAAAACAATAAAACTTCGGATTAAGTCCGCCTTTTGTGTTTATTCATGCAATAAAGATTTAATAAATAAACAATAAATGAATAAATATATAAAGATGCAAACCTGAAATTTGTCAAACTCAGTGATGAGCCTCTGTTGAGCGCCCGACGAACGGATGGTACTTATACCATTAAGTGTTGCCGACATGTGTGAGAATACCGGGCTACGAGCTGTTGGATAAAGTAGAAATCTTCATAAGATTACGGAAAAAATATTAAAATCCTAGATATTTGTGCATCAGTTTAAATGTAAGTAAACAAACATTTTTACAGTCTCACACGATCGTTGTAAAAAGCTGTTTATTGATTTTATTATGCATGGTATATGCATTACTGCTGTTTCTCTTCAATGTTACAAAGGACAGTGACGGATAAATCTTTGGCTAAACTAGGGATGTGCTTAGGGGTGCGGCGTTCCAAAGGAGCATGAAATTTCACTCTTGAAAAAACTTTTTAAGTTGCTTGCCTCGCGGAGGCAGTCATCTATCAGTTATATAGTCCACAAGTCAGGTTATACAAATCTGTCAATAAAGTAAAATCAAGTGAAGACACTTGATTTTAAACTTTAGTAGATTAAATCAACAGTTCAAAATTAATTGTGTGGAAACCTGACTTGTCCCTGTGTGTATCTGTAATCTGCCATTGATGATAAATGCTTTTAAATTAAAATATGTGAATATGATTTTATTTTTACTTACTCGTGCCTTCCAATCGTTTAATTGATTGGGCCGATTTCAAATAAATTTGCAGTATAGTGTAAAACAGAAGAAGTATGATGGTAGTGGGTAGAAGAGTCCATACTAGCGCCGCTGCATTTAGAGTCAGAATGCTGAACATAACCAGATAAATTTGTATACACTCTAGCAAGAACCGCGGTAGAAGTTCGTCTAAGGCACCGATGTCTTTAGAAAATCTATTTAGAATACGACCTGTAAAAAATAATTGTTATAATATCACAGTTACTTTTAGAATGATTAATATTAATTTGGATTTGCTTAATTTTTTACCAGAAGAGTTAGTGTCGAAGAACCTCATGACTCCTCTTAGCATAGAGTGGAACATATCATTATGCAGATTACGTGAGGCAGTCATGCAAACTTTGAAGAACATGAAAGCCCGAGCAGTGATGAAGAAGATGCAGCAAACTATCAATGCCGAGTATATGTATAAGTATTGAGTCGTGTTCAAGGGTCCGATATTGGCATCGATTTCCAAATCTGTTGGCGATAATAACATATGAATACTAGTACAAAGACAAAATGTAGGAAAAATCCGGTAGACTAAATAAGAAAGGAAACTTGGTCCATGACACATAATCTGTTTAAAATTCGCGCTACCGGGTTTGCCGTCAAGTCGTTCTGTTTGTTTAGATATTATCTGAGAAAACAAAACGAAGCCTACAGTAATCGGATAGCAAACCCAATCACTCGAGTTTTAAACGGATTTATTAGGATCATATCTTCTACCTGATCAAGTTTTCCAGATTCCACCTATTTTATGAAATTATAATATGTATTAGGATTAAAAACTAAATTGTAATCAAGAGAAGCACAATTCACAATATTCATTATTACCTGCTGTTTGTTCAATGCCAGCGAAATAACTGGAGAAGTTAAACGTGCCATTTTTTGGTGTTATAAGTCTGTCATAATCTTTGGTTGTACTGTTGCTGTTTTCTCTTTCTTTCATTCGTGTCACCTCGTTTGTCCTGTAAAATATAATTTATTAGAACAAATAAGTTAGTTTAGGCTTTGCGTGCGGTGGTGACTTTTTGACACTGATATTTGGTCTTTTGTCACTGTACTTTAATAAGATGTTCAAGCGCTCGCACCACCGTAATGATTAATATCATTAAGGTGGTGCGAGCGCTTGAACATCAATGGTGTCTTCTATAGAAACGACCGATGATTCTCAAAAGGTCCATCTGTCTGACTTATTATGGATCATGAGAGTACGGTGAGAGAAATATAAAGTCACGATGATAATTAATCCCAGTTCACCGTATGCACTTAGATACTTATACGATAAATAATAATATTAGGAATTATTATTATTCTTACCAGAAAGTAACCCAATAATCGCAAAGCGTAGCGGAGAGTTGTCCAACTACTAAAAGTACGACCATAAATATAAGTCGTGCGGTTTTGCCACCAGCTCTCATATATGCGCCGTACACGTGCCAACCCATTGAGCCAGATTCTCGTTCCTCTTCTTCCATTTCTTGAGCAGGAATGTCACAGCCTGTTGTTGATTCAGTAAGAGAAGGACGACGAGTAGTAGATAACTGAAATATAAAATGGTAACGTCGAAATTATTAAAGTAAAGTTAGACATGGAATTGGGTATCATCGTCAGCATATTAACGGACAGGAAGAATGAGCCCGTTACATGGGCCTAGTGTGGATTAGTGTATGTTAATGATAAAAGAGACCAAAGGTTTCGAAGCTCGAAGGAGTTCGAGGTAGTAAATTATTGTTCACCCCATTGTGAATCTTGTGGAAGTTGATAACTTTCGAATCGCTGACAGAACGCGCTAACCACTACGCCATCGAACTTCTTCGAGGACAACGAAGGAATTACACATTCCACAGCTTTCGAAGCCAAATGGATCGCACCCCGGTTTCAAGGTGTTGTGAACTTGGGATTCGAACTAGGTTGATTTCCGGTACATTAAAAAAAAACAAATTCTACTACCATATCCATACTATCCATATAATGAGGTCCGAGTTACTAATTTATCTTGAAATCTGAGCAGTGCGCTTTGTATGTGATGTTGTCTTATTACATAATAAATATTACTTACTCTGGAGGAAGTTCGTCTGGCCATGGGAGGCGGTTTCTCTTTATCTTTGCTGTCATCATCTGCGTCGTGACTCGAACTCAACAATTTGGCGAAGTCTAAACCGGACGTCATCAATTCATTATACGTGCCTTTAGCTTCTATGCTACCCTGAACATGAAGAAAAAAACTTGAGCTATAATTTTAATTTGGGATTAAAGAAATGTTATGTTTTACGAAAAAGTGTTATATGGAATCAGCCCTGCGATTTCGTAAAAATCTGAAAGTGAATTCAAATTCACTCAAGATGTTAGAATTCTCTTCCAAAGCGGCATCCGCCCAACCTTGAATTAGTAATAACGTTTCGTGGCATAAGTGAAGTGACTTTAGAAATTATATAGGATTAGACTATCTGAGACACGTATGAATAAATTAATCTTGTTAAACAAACTACACAAAATAACGTGAATTCGGACACACGTGTGAATTAGAAGAATTTTTACAGAATCGCTCTGCAGTACGTACGTTATTCATAATGAGGATATAGTCGGCATCCTTGAGGTAATGCAGTTGATGGGTGACTAGTACTCGTGTAGTATGCCGCAGGTATCCTCCAATGCATTCATCGAATAGTTGTCTTCCAACATGGGCGTCCACCGCGGATAGTGGATCGTCAAGTAGATATATGTCAGCCTATAATTGTTATATTTATCATTAGAAGAATTGCAAATTGAATTATTCAAGTTTTTTTTATAAGCATGCTTTTGTTGGATATTATCTTTGATCTTTCTTGTACATATCAATCGAGCCCAAAGTCGATTAAGTTGCATTATTTAACTAAAGAGTTCCTATGGCCATCTTTCATTTCTATCATCAGACCCTCGAACCAAAATCTCATGTGAAGTGCAAAAAATATGGCGAGTCAATAAAATTTCTAAAATGTGTGACTGCTCAATGTTTTAGAGTGTGTAATTTTGAAAAATGATTACGTTTTTCTGATTTCCTGATTCTTTTTCGTAGGCATGCAGCCCTACTCCATGCCTCCGAAAACGAATTTTCGAATCGTTTGTGTTAAAGTAATTACGGTCTTCTGCAAGTCAGAGTCACTATTAGCTACTATTACTCTTATTACGTTATGCATTTATAAAAAAAATTAAGCAGAGTCAAAATAACGTTTCGAAGAATGCGAATATTTCGTTGTCAGGGACACAGAGGGAGCCCGATATAAAATACTTTAAAAGTAGTAGTATTGAATGAGTAGTTCTCGTTAAGAAACTAGTATGTTCAATGTTTGTCATAATTCAGTACTTGTCTGTAAACTGCTCTGGCTAAATTGATCCGAGCTCGTTGACCTCCAGAGAGCGATGCTCCTCTCTCACCGACGAGAGTCTGGTCGCCGTGTGGAAATTGTTGGAAATCTTTTTGTAGAGCACAGACTCTTACGACCTGGGATAAAGTATTATACATTTTATATTAATACAAGCTGTTTTCCTACGATTTTGTCCGCGTAAATTATAACTTATGTCAGCCGCGTATGGTGTAGCTTCCGGTAGGTAAAAGAATTTTTACAACCAATCCAGTAGTTTCGGAGCCTATTTTGTGCAAACAAACAATCAATATTTTTATAATATCAGTACAAATAACAATAGCTAAATCTTTTGTAATGATATTTGAATTGATTATGTAAAGAATTTATTATGTAATAATTTAAATACATAAAATATAACCTATTACCTTACTAGGGTCTTACTACCTAAATACCAATTTTCATCTAAGTATGTCTTAATACAAAGAAGATTCATACAAACGTTTTCACCTCTTTTTACCCCCTTCGGGTGAAATTTCCAAAAATCTGATACATGTACCCTCCAAATTTCAGGTCTCTACGACCAGCGGTTTAGACTGCGTTGTCTGTCAGTCAGTATGTCAGGACATCTCCTTTTCTAAATGTGTAGGTAGAGATAATGTCGCACCAGTGCATCGCTTATGGTTGCCCATTTGTGTTATCATAAGTAAGTTGGAAAATTATATAATTCTTTTCAGATCGAGATTAAGAATTTTATTTTTTTAGTAAATGATGGAATTGCTTGTTTTCTTCGAACTCTTTCCTCTTTATACTATTAATTTAGACGTATTATATCTATCTTACTAACCTCCTTGTACTTCTTGGAATTATATGGTAAACCAAATAGTATGTTTTGACGTACAGTGGCCACAAAAAGCCAAGGCTCCTGACTTGCATATGATAGAGGTCCTGATAGGTGTATCCGGCCACTTGTGGGCCTTAATTCATTCAGAAGAAGGTGAAGTATAGAACTCTAAAAAAATAAAATTTGATAATTATTGCAATGGAAGTATTAATGTTGGTAATGATATTGAGTTATTTAACAATACAATCATATATTCTTTATTTATGTTGTTGTAAAACTTTGATATTAATATAAGTGTATTTTTATTAGCCAAAAGATATACTAAATACATTGCACGTAAAAAAGTTTGACAATTCAAAAGTACTTTTAATAATATTATAAGAATAAAGAATATTATGTTTTTCTTAATAATAAAATTGACTTCAATAAGAAACAAAAATGCTTATCCAATTTATCTACTAAAAAGTACTCATTCGATTGTGATAAAAATGTTACCACTTCAGGCCCGTAAACATTAAAATATATTTTTTTAAACGGGCAAATTGATGAACATGCGTCTGCTAGTCAAACATAGAACCTCTTTCTTTTCGATTATGAAGTCAATTAAAGTGTATGTTATGAGTAATATACCTTTCCAGAACCCACGGAGCCAATGATGGCGCAAAGTTTTCCCTTAGGAATTGTGATATTAATATTACGTAGAGTAACGGGTCCGTCTTCAGTCCAGCTGGCGCAAACATCCTGGATTTGAATACCCACATCTGGATTTAACGAACATAATGTCTGTTTCAAGAGCCCCTTTTCGTTGCAGTCAAAGCCTGGTGGAAAAGATACAAATGCTAAATTAATACTAACATGTTAATAAAGACGAAGCTATCACCGAACATGGCCGTACGTATTTCTTACATTATTGTGATATGAATTTAAAATGTTTGCATTTATTCTGTAAAAAGTTTTGGGGTAACAAACAAGAAAAAAACAGTTGAATTGAGAACCTCCTCCTTTTTTTGAAGTCGGTTAAAAATAATAAGTGAGAAATCTTTATCAAATAAATAAAAATAGTTACGCACTTGGGTTAAAGATACCTTCCTCGTCGATTTTCTTGAATGTGTTCTGACAGAGGTCCTCTTCGCTCAAATTCTTCGTTTTCTTCTTTTCTACACTCTGTACCAGTTTCGCAATATCAACTTCAGCGACGCTACGAAGGTCTTCACGTTCATCTATATGATAAATATTTGCAATTAATCAAATATAAGTAATTTGTTAACAAACTGTAGAACTATGATATTTGGCAACGTCTGTAATTAATCACTTCAGTTATATCCGAGCACAAAGGCAACAAAACTATCACATATGTATTACTGATACGTAATGTTCTCAATTTGCCAGGAACTGGCGAGACCCTCCGCTTAATAATGGTTAATCTCTTGAGCTTCTGGGACGCAAAAAACTCTGAGGTATTTTCAAACAGTAAACTTATTTTTTTAATAAGTCAAAATGTGCTAAAATCTACTACGCCTCGTATTACCCTCCTTCGTTCGCTATGCGTACTACGAGACGTAGTCAGTTGATGCTACTCGAAAGCAAAGTAAATATAAAAAAAAATAACTTGACATTTTATCAAGTTTCCACCCCTGAGCGTGATTTGTTAAGACAGCGCTGAGGTTAGTTCTTTCCAGAATTGGCAACCCTTATCATACGCGTCTAGCCCCTTCACAGACAATACATGAAGATGCCAACAAATATCATTTAGCTAATTAATAGATATGCTAATTGCCAAACATCATAGTGTTACAGTTATTGCACTGTATTTTCGCTAAGTAACGTTCGATTCTGTTATAGGTATAAATACTACGAGTATTAATGCATAGTTTTATAGAGAACAACTGATATGGTAAAAGACTGATTCAATTATATGAAGAGACATGCATGATTATGAATATTAATTATTTTATTGTATTAAACGGTAAACACCAGGTGTCACGGTGCATATTGGAAACTCGTGATCTTTTGTATAAATATGAAATATAATATGCATGTTGTTTATATTGAATTACACACTCAATTATGACGCAAGTACACGCTTAATTATAAAACTGGAATTATTGAATATTGTTCATTAAAAATAAAGTTAAACATGACGATCGGGAGATTTTTTTTTCTAAAGTGAAATGAGCATGATGCAGATATCTACCAATCTTATGTAAAATATCTTCTTCAAAAATTTTGCACGCCTAAATTCCCAGGTAAGATAAATCAAATTTGTCTTATGAATTTAAAATTTGTAAAATATAGGAATTACCCATTTCCATTAAAAAAGAAAATATAACACTAATGCCATCTATTGACAACCTTCGCGAATGAAACAATTTAAAGACACCCCCCTCATCCCATTTTCTATATTGTCTAGACTAAAGATAAAACCTACGGCTACCGAGCCGTAAATTACTCTGATAATATCGACATTCGGTAAGTTAAGGTTCGATTACTATTTTAGTCAATTTGAGCCTTGCTTAATAGCTATTGGTTATACGCGCGTGCAATGATATATGACCCCCATTCAGTTATTTATGATTACTAATTTACTACGAGTGTAAAACCGTGACGTATTAAAGATTGAAATCTAAGGGTATTCCTATTTATTGTCAAGACTGAATGTTAACTCTTCAAATATTGTATTTTATTATAGGTACTTAAACCTACACGTCATGTTCAAAGCACAAAAGAACTCAGTGTATGAATAAACTTTTCATACCTGCAGCTATTTAAATATGTAAAGTCATATTATACACAGACTTTACGTAAGTAGGTACTAATTAGAGATGAAACGGATAGTAGTTTGGAAATTACATTAATATACGAATATTCGGCTACTAGATATTGAGCTCATCGCATTACATAACGCGATCAGGGGGCCAATTCTACTAAATAAATTTTGTTTAAATCGAATCGAAAACTGATCGAAACCGGACGAAACTACAGTTTTCAATGTTTTTCTTATTCTACAAAGTGACATACGATACAATTCCAGTTCTTATTACCATATAAAAATTTAATTAATACGAATGCCCGTTTTCACTAAACTTAAGATTTAGGAATCGCCTAAGGAGAAAATGCATTTCATCAATGAATATGAACCACCACTGATACTCGTATTAAGAATATCTAAAGTTATGACAAGCGTTATGTGGTACCTTGCACTAGGCATTTGCGTGATATGTCAGGTCACAAATGGGCAAGGGATAAAAAAATGTTTATTTGGGATTGAACTACTCTTCTTAGGCGATTCGTAAGATTAGGCGTTGCCTATTTAAGCTATGGCACGTTCTCGGTTAGTGAAAACGGGTGTAAGACGTAGAAATAGAATTACATAATCATAGCATACTTACCCTGTGTTTAATAAAATAATATTTATGTATTGTTAGAAGAATGAAATGTCAATCCATGCATATTAGTATAATCATTACCTATACACATCCCATTGATTAGTATCATAATATGATTAAATCTATGTTACAATTTTCCCTGTTTAATTTAAACATCAAATAAACTTGGTTTTACAAACATATCACCATAATGTATTATTTTTTAATCTCATACCCGACAACAAGAGGGCTTCGACACGTCTGACAGACGTATAACATTCCATCGATTGTGAAAGAGAAGACGGCAGGGAGATAGCTAGTGTCATTTGGAGAATGTTGAATAATTGAGCCAAAGGGAAAGCCTGTGAAAATCATATGTGTACGGTTATAGCTGTGTATTAAAAAATCTATAATATGCCTTTCCGTTAGGCATAAGTCCCATTTGGCTCTCGTTCAGTTTGCTTATATAATCAATTATTAAAGAGAATCCAGTCCAGTGTAACCTTCACCTTATTTGCTGTAGCATAATTGAAATATTTCAATACTAAGTGAATTAGTTGAAGATTTATTAAAGGTTATTCTGTTAAGAAGAGTGCCGAGTCTGCTATATTTTGGACTCGTTATTTTTTATAGGAAGAGAAAAAGAGAGAAGCTGAGGCTGGGTGCAGTTCCGATATATAGCCCCACATACCGAGCAGCATGAACGCCTCGAGGCGTTGCACTGATATCACTGCCTCAGCTAAGAACGAAACAGCGTTCGACATGATAATCGATAGGGTGCCTTGTAGTGTGTTGAAGAATTGCGCCAATGGAAATACCTGTAAATGTCTTTGTTGAAATACTTGTAACTTTGGACAGTATTTAACCAGCTACACTTTCAAACACCCATGTTAACGCAACAGAGAGAATTAATGCTGGAAAGAGATGAGTTGTTTCTGTTGATAATATTATAATAAAACAAAGTTTTATTTAAGACAAAAATGACATTGTGTCTAAATGTGCTTTAAATTACTAGTATTCGTTCCACTTTCACTAGTAAACTTAAAAATTTGTTATATCTTACTCAAACAGAAGAAATTTAATACTTTAGAATAAAAAAAAATCATATGTTTATTATCTTCTTCTCTATCTTTTATATTGAATAAATATCGGTTACATTTGTTTTAATCAAGATGTAAGAATAAATATTTTATAACAAAGCCAAAAGCAATAAAAAATCAATAATCATAAATTTATTTTCACTAAACAGTAATTAGTTTTTTTAATGAAAAATATCATTAGTTTTAATCGACTTTATAATAAACTAAAAATATATTAATTTTACAGCGATATCATATACATACACATCAACACGTAGAAAGAAGTTTAAGGCTACGTGCATACTGTGCCTAGAACTCAACGACGTTTTAATCGATTGAACCTCTATGCTGTGACAGCGTTATTGAGTCGAGTTCAACGCTGATTTTATTGCAGAAAAAATTAACCCTTTACTTCAGAATAAAAAATATTAAACCTTAATATTTTGAGGGTAGCGATTGAAATCACCAGGCAAAATTTAAATATTGGTAACTGGACTTGCAGCTGTATGTACATACGTGCAAAAGGAATTATCTATGAATATATATTTTTACATATCACAGGTAATGTATCGCTAATTATGAAAAAACAGAAATGCTGTTATGCCGCGATTATTGATAAAACAATCGCATCATATATAAATTACATTTATACTAGCGTAGCTCCTTGTCATAACATTGTCGAGTTACACTGACTATAAAAGACGAGTACGTATATAAAACGATATATTCAGCTAAAGTGTAATACTCACTATGTCGGCAGTTACTTGGTATCCGAACAGGGAGTAAGAGAGGAGAGTGATGTAGAGGGAGAGCCTTTCCGTGAACACCATGAAGCTCAGGTAAACTCCCCGCAGGTAGGAAGCTGATGTTATGCAGTTGATTTCGTTCTTACGCGCAAGTGCTACCACTTGTTCGAATGGTTTTTCCCATGCGTACATTTTGATGACCTACGAATTCAAATCTATATAAATTTATTCTTATTAAATAAAAGCACCATGTTACTCTGCATATTGTATAATAATTTAGCATCATCGTAAAAGCTGAGCAACGGACGTGATGTTGATTTTTTATAAAAAAAAGTAATCATTCATCTGGAAAAAAAGCCGTAACTTTAAGAAGATAAGGCAAGTTAGTGACTTTACGTGGCAGGTTGTGAAATATTATAAGTGCTTTCAAATCGTTTAGTATATATAGATATGTAAATATTTAAATATTAGCATGTAACAAAAAGAGTTATGAGCATGAATGTGGACGGACGGAAAGGTAAGTAAAGGAAGATCTAAGAAAAAATGTAGACTGTGTGAAATTAAAGAAGAGTACATATTCCTCCAACCTTAAACTAAATTATCAGGAAAAAAGGCTTGCAAATGATGATATAAATATTCTACAGTATCTAAAGTATACTGCGATCGAATACGAATTACGTTATTGATAATAATAACCAGCTTAATCTGGTCATATTGTGCGTGCATTGTGCTCATGAATACCAACCGGAACATGGACATTGAACGATAGTCTGCGGCCCAATAGCTCAGATTAAATAGGATTCATGTGTCGATGTCGGTTCTCAGCAATGAGAACCAATACAAGTTGATAATCCCAAACTTTAAAACGTAAGAAAGGATCAGATTCACATTTTGTGTCCTTAAAAGTCAGATATGAGATGTAGGGTGCCAATTATCTAATATATAACCTATGTTTGTGGTTAAATTAATGAAGCTATTCATTTTAAATTATAGTGGTAACATTTTTTCAAATATTAAAATAGTAGTTAATGTGCAACTACACACATTATTGATAATTATAAGATTAGGTCGGATTGGTGCTGTTTTCGAGAATATCTACATACATACTGTATCATAATATTTTTACTGAATGGAGTATACAATAAAAATCTATGAAATTGTTTCACCAATCAGCCGTGCTGTTAAAATAAGTAATTATAAAACGGTTAACATACCTGCATGCCACTAATTATTTCGTCCATAATTCGCACGCGTTCGTCAGTCTTACATGCAGTCTTCATACGTAGTCGAGCTGCCAATTTGCTCATGTATGCTGAGGATAATTTAAAGTCAACGTTATCATTTTATTTTAATCAATAGGCTTTTTTTTATTTTATGGGATAGGGGGCAGACGAGCAGACGGATCACCTGATGGTAAGTGATTACCGTCGCCCATGGACACCTGCAACATCAGAGGTGCTACAAGCGCGCTGCCGGCCTTGGAGGGAAGGGTTATATCAATATACTCATGTAAACAGTTAATTTTTACCGTTTACAGCTAAAAGAAGATGCAAACACGACCCGTTTAGATTATTTTAAGTTGTGGAGAAGAATGAGCGCAATGAACAACATTTTGAACTTGATGCTAACAGCATAAACGAAATTACTATTGTTCCTAACGAGTAGGATGGGTGATCAAATATTATTATGTCGACCTCCTCTGTTTTTCGGAAGGCACATTAAGCTTGGTCCCGGCTGTATCTGCAGTTGTCAATACTCGGCGCTAGGCGCATAATGAATCACGGGCCATTCTTCCTAATCGATTCGATTTGCTTAGGTCTTAGGCCTTCCATTAGAAGTGGGGACTTTAAAATAGATGACGTAATGCTAAGCTAATCGTAATGCTAATGCTAGTCTCAATCAACGTCTTTGCCTTTCTTATGGATTGAATCACTTAAAAATAAATGAATTACTTCTTTCTTCGTTTTGAAAATATCTCAATGAAAATTTAAGCCGCCTTTCTTTGCTTGAATATATTGAAAACATGTGTTTTTATTCTTGATGACATAAAGAAACTTTACATCCTGATTTCTTATAAGAATTATCACGCGTACTTCTTATTTAAACCTCTTATTACCCGTTCAAAATAGTTTTTTTTTTATTTTTTTATTTAATGAAAGTTAATATTGTTTTAACGTTATATTTGCTTATTATTATAAGTATATTTTTTATAGCTATAACACGATTAAAGTAAGCCAAAGATTTCCGCTTGCAAGAATACATTTTCAATGCTTTCAATATACCGATGTTTTGTTTTACAAGAACAATTTCACTTCATGCAGATCGTGAATGTTAAGTAAACAACTCACATTGTACTGGTATTGTTTGCAAAACGATACCGACAACTCCCACGATTGCAGCGTATCCAATTTTAATGTAAATGAGGTAGCATACGACAACCACTTGCAGCGGCAGCAGCCAGATGAAATGTGCATAGATGAAGGCGTAGTCGAAACGGTTCACATCGTTTGAAAGGAGATTTACAACTTGACCCGCGGTGGTTTTCGCTAAGGCACCAGAGCTCATACGCATGACCTGTTAAGTGAAAGTAGACATTAAAAAAGTTCCATCAATTTTAATGTGTAAATAGTATGTATCTCTATTGTCAACAGAATTACTAAACCACAGGAAAAGTAATTTTTGGGATTATTATGATTATGATACATGAGTCAGACCCATGTTTCAAGAGGTTTTTTATGGCAAGAGATGAGAAGAGAGTAGAGGTTGAGAACATTATATTTAATGGAAAAACATTTGCTATTGCTAAACTAATTGATATAGTAAAATAAAATGTATGAAACCTTTCTATAAATGAGAGAGCAAGTTGCTATTCGGACTTTCATGCCGAATTGTTGGGTGGAATAGGCTCCATGGTGGTTGAGGAAGCCGATTAACAGCGACATCAGAATTACAGCTGATGCGCAATACACAGCTTGCTCGTACGTCATATTGGATCCCGGCTCCCAGTAGGTTAACATCATACTCAGCGCTACAGGTTGGAAAGGTCTGGGGACAAGATGATTTTTCAATTATATGGTAAAATAAATAAATAAATATTTAACAACATCACATACATTGCTCAGATTCCAAGATGAGTAGCTAAAGCCCCCGTATTATGGAGTATCTGAGACAATGAAGGTACCACAACACCCAGACCCGAGTCAATATAGAAAAGTTCATTTTCTACATTGACCCGACCGGGAATCGAACCCGGGACCTCAGAGATGGCGATACCTTGAAACCGGCGTGCGAACCACTCGGCTACGGAGGTAAAATTGAAATTATAAAAAAAAATATTAATATTTAATTATTATCACAGGATTAGGCATACTCTATCGCACTTTTATAATTAGCAAATTTTTAGCATAAGGACATTATTTATACATGAAAATTAATAAACATTTAATTAAACGAAATTATTAGTAAAAATCATATACTTAGTATACGCACAAGATTCAGCAAATATTTGCCCTTACTTGGTTTGGGCTCTATTATCTAATAGTTTCAATAATAGCTAAAGTTTATGATCTCATCATCAATGAGACAATTTTGGAATCTAAGGAATGAAAATTTAGCAATTTGGTAGTTGTACTACTGCTGCGTCAGTGCATATCTGACGAAAGATGTATCGCGTCATATCGCTAGCGGAACGTTAGAATTGACAATGCATATAAGATAGCTGGTCGTGTATACTCGACAGAATTTTCGTTGCGTACTATAGTTTAATTTCGTGAGACGCTTTGCGGATCTTCAGATAAATAGGCGATTGCCTATTTGACATAGATCTATAGTTTAGCAGGCAGCAGAGCAACAAAATCTCCAATGTTTTATACCTTTACTTCTACGGGTCATTACATGCTATTATTAAATGAAGTATTATAGTATTTTAAAAACAACTCCAAACAGGACGTGCTCAAAATGAAAATTATCAAAATTTATCCCGCGTGCATATACTACGAGTTAGAGCTATTATCTGAATCACATACAAAATAAGAGCGATGTGTAATCGTGTTTGTTACACGAATAAGATATAAATGATCATTATTCACTTGAGAAGTAGTGCTTGGATCAAGAACATTATTCCAGAAGGCGCGTAACTCATCCAGAATGCCTTCGTCATGGCACGCAGGAGCGACGGTTTGCGCCCTTTCTTGTGTGCCAATGCTATTTCTTCCAGCCATTTCCTGTGAATAGAAAATAATGAATTGATGTAGCTAAAATATAGCAATAGCTTATTATGCAAATAGATTTATACACGAGCTGTATTCTCTCGATTTCGCCCGCGTAAATTATAGATTAAATCCTTACGGGAGCAGGTGAAAGCATTTTTAAAAATTTGTCTAGTAATTTCGATGAAAATTCAAACAAACAATTAAATTTTTTCTTTTTTTGTAATCTACATTAAATCAATACATATATGATTGATTGACAGACAACGCACAGCTTAAACCGCTGGTCGTAGAGACTTGTAATTTGGAGGGTACATTCGTCTTATTACGAAGAGGTGTACTAAGAACGGATTTTTGGGAAACCCGAAGGAGGGTGGGAGGGTAAAAAGGGTGAAAACGTTTGCATGAAATTTCTTTGTTTATGGACTTATATGGATGAAAATTGGTATTTGGATTGTATAAGACCCTAGTAAGGTAAATAGGTTAAAGTTTATGTTTTTAAATAAATAAATAAATTCTTTACATATTCAATTTAAATATCAATACAATAGATTTTATATTGAAGTAAGGTATTAAAGTTTATACGGAAGTTTGTCATTGTCAAAGATAAAAACATGAAAATTTAGGTAAGGTATTTTAAACGATATAATGAATAAATATTAGTTTAAGAAATGCTGCCCAAAATAACTATACCACGCGGATGAAGTCGTGGGCAAAAGCTAGTATTAGTATAAAAATATTACCTTATAAATGATAAAATAAGTATGTTTGTCACTTTCTTCTTTCATGTTTGTTACAAAGTATGGATTTATTTATAACTAGCGGTTGTTCCGCAAAAAATATTCCTACGTCAACCCTGTATGATGTACCCGTAAGTGATTTTTTTAAATCGGTGCAGTCGCTACGCAGTTTCTCCTACTTAAGCTTAAACAGTTATTTTGATGTGAAGATTTTTGATCCTGCAGTCTTATTATAATATTTGCAAAAATTCTGGGGTATCTTGATGTGTACCCATTCCCATCTCATTAGATATTCGCAGGGGAGTAATATAGTATACTTATTACCAACAATAATCATCTAATTGCTCTCTGGCGAAGTCTTTGGTCTGTTACCCGTGTTAGTGTTTACTGAAGACTTTTTTAACTCATAATTGCTAAAACCGGTTTTACACCTCATGTTTGTTTACTATAAAGTACATATTTTCTCTCATATTTTACGCTCTCAACAAGATCATGTTATGTGCTTGACCTTACTACTTGTACTTACAACTACCTATGGATACTGTTAGTAAAGTGGGTATGCAAATAGTTATGTGGAACGTGTGATATCACCGTTTTTGAATATAAATTAAAGATGAAACCTTATCGCTTCCTTCTTTACTTGAATGTAAAACAGAAACGGTCAGAAAAAATTAAAAATTTCGGTTTTATAGTTCAGAATAGAGTAGTTTCGTTAGTGAAAAATAAGTCACGGCATTGCACAATAACAATTTTAGAAACAGAGATTCTGATTTTGAGTCTTAAAATCGCACGATAATCTTATCTTAAAATTAAAAGTCATGATTTTTTTTCTGTGTGTCACGTGACATACAGACAAAAAAACATGACAACATGACATTTAAGAAATTAAATAATATTTGTGTAGGTTCTCTATTGTAGATAAGTTATGCAACATAATTATATTAAAAGAAATAAAATGCTGTAGATTACGAATTATTTCGACGGAAATAGAGGCTTACATATGAATATGCATGGCTTTGATAATCTATATATATAAAAATGAATCGCAAAATGTGTTGGTAAGCGCATAACTCAACAACGCCTCGACCAATTTGGCCAAATCTTTTTTTAAAATGTTCGTTGAAGTTCAAGGATGGTTTTTACGGCGAGAAAAATTAGAATTATTGCTGGAAAAACCCTAAAAATAGCCCTTTTCTTTTTCCCATACAAATGATTTGTATCTAAAACGTAGTCAATTTGAGCTTTATTGCTATGGTATAAAGTTCATATTAAATTACAAGCACTCACTGTTGTCTAAGCAATGTAGGTGTGTTCCTAACGTCAAAGATCATATCTATCACAAAACAATGTGCGTGTGTGCGTTGGAGCACAGAATACATAGTTGGAGGAGTTTAATGTCGCGTTCCGAAACTCGCGTTTCTTTTGTATTAGTTTCGGCACGCGAGATAAAATGCATCAGTTTCCACGTCATTACATGTATTGCCGGAACATTGATGAAAATACGCTCTGTAGTAGCAAAGCTGTTGGGTCCTAGATAGCTCATTGGTTAGAGCAGTCCCTGGATCGCGAATGGGTTCGAGTCCCATTCCGGGGTACAGGTAGACGGATTCTTCCAGCATTTTTCCTTGAGAATGTTTATATATTTTTTTAATTCGAATAGTTTACTTTTATAATGCTGTTGTGTGTAATGTGTTTTTATGATCATAAAAATCTCTTTTTTCTATATTTAATACTATTACTATTAATACATTGCAATAATAATTATGATTCACATGATTAACAATAAAGCGATTACTTACTTTTAAATCCTTATATATGTTTTATTTAATTATTTTTTATTCACAACGCCCTATCACCAGGGTGACGGTTCTGTTCAGGAGAATTTTTTTAAATACGTAGGCAAAAAAACTGCCACATTACAAATCTTTTTGACAGGACGAAGTCTGTCGGGTCAGCTAGTTTTGTAATAAAATTTGCCTCAAACGCGACGTCGAGTATAGCGCTGTCATAGCACAAAGGTTTATAGGAATAAATCCTTTATTACCTTTCGAAGTAGATTTTATTTGATTGAACGTGCGCTATGCTCGATATAAAGTTAGCTATTGAATTTTTTTATGATAAATATTGTATAATTGCATTCGTACATGCTGCATTTCTCATAAATAGAAATCAATTATAAGTCAACACAATGTATTTTGTAATATTTTTAACACATTAGTTTTTAAAATTAAGAAAGCCAGTATAGCATTTTATTTGTACACAAGCTGACATGTAGGTAAATACGTACTATACCTCTAAGATAATTGATATACAATGAACGTCCACGGCAAATAGGTGTGTGATTATTAAATTAATTGTCGAATTTAAATGTAGCACTTAATGCCTTTAATGACATTCGAAACTCTATTAGGCATTAGGTGAATTAATTTTTAGGTACAAAGATTGTAGAACAAATAGTGTCGTATAAGTAGTACATTTTTATATGCAAATATGAGAAGCGTTGTAAATAGAATTAGAAATTTATGGCCTTCAATAGAATCAGGCGTTATCTCGCTGGAGTCCATTGCTATAACCGTGAAACTATGATACCAAGTAACTGCCACACCCAGTCTGTATCTACAAGATCTGCTGTGTTTCTCTCGTACACAAACTAACATACACAAATGGCAACATATCCCGCAAAAATCACTCTACAAGAGTTTCGCTCCTTTACGGAGCATTAAAAGCTCGCCTAGTGTATAATGGTCCTAGATCAAAAGAAGCCTTCATTATCTTAGCACAAGAAATAAAAATAATCTTGCCGCTCTAAGCTTCAGACTTAAAAAATACGAGATAATCATTTCTGGGTAAATGCATTGCTATGTTTAATAAAGTTCCACAAATTGTTATTATTGACCCATCTGTAAATAAATTTAAAAATCGTGTAAAGTACTTATTTATAAGTAATGGCTAATAAAGCTGATGATTATTTTAAGGACCGTAATGCATGGAAATAACAGCCTTCGCTTCGTTCGATTCTATAGGCTATAGGACAAAGCATTATATGTACTAATGCTGTGTCCTGCAGTTACTGATAATAGTTTTTTTATTTATATTGTAATACGCCTTAAATTTATATTAAATTTCTTTTTCTTCTTGTCAGCCAAAAAACTTCCTTAGCGAGTGGTTGGGATATATTTTATCCTTCAAAAGGTATGATTTAAAAGGTATAGCGATTGTGGTACCGATTTACGGTATAATGCGACGTTCAATGATGATTTGAATGATTAGCTGTATATATAACAATTTCAAATTAAGTAGTTGAATTGATAACTGCATCTCTCGACGTTTTTGTTATGTTTCTTGATATATGTATATAAATACACAAACATATAACATTTACAATCTATTTATTTATTACAATAATTATATTACGTTCACACCGTTATTGTATTGTTTTTATGAACCAGAATTCACTCTAGCTTTAAGATTTATTTAGTAGAAATCGCTGATAAGCGATAATGCCGCCATTTTACCTGTTTTTATTTGTCTTGTGTTACTGTAAGTGTGCAATAAAAGATTAATCTATTATATTGCTCAATGTCAATATATTTTACAGTAATATTTGTGTTTCACTTGCCTTAGACAATTTTAATTAACGTCAAATGGACGATAGGGTATTTCAAATACATAGTTCTAGAGTGAAGTACCAGAATATCTTTTAAATATAAAATTTAAAGGGAATACAATTAGGTCCCGGGAATAATGGCACTATTCGATTTAATTTGATTCTATCCATCGGGAAGGCCTATGCCCCAATACCAAGCACATTAATAGGCTGATGATTATCGTGGGCTGCAACTAGTAATTATAATTGGCATAATCAAAGCTTGCACGAGTCAGTACTCCTACTATGAACCTTTAACTGGGATGTGCAAAACATGATTAACTCCGATTTGAGATAAAGTCATAAAATACCAAGCCATACATCAATTTTCAATGCATCATTGCTAGATTAACCAAGTAACTAACGAAAAAGGTATTTAATATTACTTTTGCTGATAAGTGTACGCGCAAAAGAACTTTCCTTTTTCAAAAAAATTATTACCACCGATTTTAAAATCATGTAACATTGAAATATAATTCTTGAAAACTACAAAGTCGGTTAAAAATTAATTGTAGACTACGTTTACAGTTTTTAAGAATATTTTTAAATTTTTCTCCCAAGTCTGTTTTAGATTTCTGATGAATACAAAAAAGAAATTTTAGATTTTTTTTGTGACGTGACATATCGTC